CTTATGCAAAGGATAGCACAGTTTATTTTTTGCTATTCCAGATAGATTTTGCTTGGGACTTGACATGGTCACTTTTTCTCCCCAACATGCAATTGTTTATTCCTACGTTACACTAACAAATTGAATTCTGACAAAAAAGTGTTATATAGGTTTTCGTCTTGATTTCACCTCCAGAATCGATTCCCGCATTTAGATTTTGATAATTATGAATTTTTTTGTAATTTGTTTAAATAATTTGTTATAAACAATTGAAAATAACATAAAAAAAATACGTATATTTTATTTTTCACTTATGCAAAAAATAGCACAGTTTGTTTGTCGCTATCTCAACCAGTCTTAGCGTGGGCTTTAATGGGTTAAATGAACTCTATTACGGGCAGAAGGATATGATAAGATACCTTCCTTTTGACGCAATTTTCTTGATTTTAAAGCACTGTGAAAAGTGCAACCAATGACCGATTGAATTGTATTTATACTCATTGAAAAAGGTAAAACTGTTAAAATATGAATTTTTTCCGCCTGATCTTTCGTATTTTCAAATTTTATTTTAATTTCTTTAATTAAACTGTCATGATCTATCTCGTTACGCTGTTTACTTTTGTAGTCTTTTATTAACGTAGATTTTAAATAAAAAGATAAAGCATCCATTTTTTCTTCTATTACACGAGGTTTTTTTAAATCCGCTAAAGTTAACGACGGTAACTGCAATTTCATGCTAAAATCGTTTAAAGCTGTCACTACAAAATTTTTAAGATCATTACCTTCTAGCTGAAAGTCTTCACTATTTGGTGATTCACAACGTTCGTTTGGATTGTATACAGAGGAACTGCTGCACGATCCTGAAAACTCACTATCAATATCCATTTTCTCCGAATCTATTTCCATAGATTCTAACTCTTGAAAATTGTCGTTATGGTAGATATGATCGACACATTGATCAATTTCTGCTTTGTCACTACTGTTCACATAATCACTAATATCTTTTGCTACCTCACCAAGTCTCTTTCTTTCCGCGTTTATTTTATTACACTTTCTTTTACAAGATTCACAAAGCCGGTCTTCTTTGTTAAGATACGAACTAAACTCTGATAAAATACTTTTCGGGAGTACGGCAAAACGTCCTGCGCGAAACTTATGAATATTAAAAATATTTTTGCAAACTTGAAAGCCACTATTTATATCTTCTATGATGGACTATATTTAACAACTTTTAATTAAGAGATTAAAATATAAGTACTGTTTATTACAATTATCGAAAAAAGCAACTTATCCACTTTGTATAAACTTTCAAAATGTAAACTTATACTTCAATTAAATAATTGCTTTAGTTGAAATTCCGAAACCGAAAATCTGCGACGTGCACACACTTCAAAGGTTCAAAATAAACTGTCCTCAATTTTCGTATACAGTTGATTTTGAACCTTTCAGATAGAGATTTTTCTTTCTTTTCTTTTACTACCATCGAAATAAATCATAAATAAGTCATAAATCGCCCTATTAACCTTCAAACTATCGGCAGTTTCTATACATAAACATCTAATACATCTAATTGTAAACTAATACATCTAAACCTATTAAGACCAAATAAAGGCCCAAGAAATAGCCGAGAGGTATCGTGCTGTAAAGCGTCTTCGGAGTCAGCGGGACGTCTTCGTGGTCTTAAGCTGAGGCATCTTCTTTTGATTAGGGCTACGCTTTCCGATATGTCGGGCCCTTGAATTTTATGATTAATTTCTATAGCAAAAATCCTCAGGAATACGTAGAAGCAAGAATTTTTCAAAAAAAAATATATACTTTTTGAGATATTAGCAATTGTTTAAACAAAAAGTTAATAACTTTCGAAAAAAAATTTTTATTGTTTATTGTTGTAATTATTTCGAAAGTTCAAGGTATTATAAGTAATTTGGGAAAAATCCGATTCGGTATCTTTATTAGTTTTTTAGATTAAAGCTAAAGTACCTTTCGACCGTGAGTCCGCTGGAGCGCTACCGTAGCCTTACGCCGAGGCGTCTTCTTTTGATTAGGGCTACGCTTTCCGATATGTCGGGCCCTTGAATTTTATGATTGATTTCGATAGCAAAAATCCTCAGGAATACGTAGGAGCAAGAATTTTTCAAAAAAAAAAAATATACTTTTTGAGATATTAGAAATTGTTTAAAAAAAAGTTAATAACTTTCGAAAAAAAATTTTTATTGTTTATTGTTTTAATTATTTCGAAATTTTAAGGCATTATAAGTATTTTGAAAAAAATCCGACTTCGATATCTTTATTAGTTTTTAAAATATAGCCGTTTGAAAATTTTTTATCATTTTTCTTTAATTGTTAATAACTTTTGATATAATTAATGTATCGTCTCCAAAATTTGGGAAAAATCTCAGTTTTATATGTACAACAATTGTGCCAAATTAAAAAAAAATCCGTAACCTAAGGGTTACAAGTTAATCGAAATAGCCAAGAATTACCCATATATGCTCACTTCGAAGAAACACTGAAAACAGTGACGAAGGGGTGCCCACAGGGTTCAGTATTTGGACCGGTGGGCTGGAACGTCATCTTTGACAAACCACACCGGGCAATCAGGGACGCAGGATACGAAGTACTAGCCTACGCAGACGATGTGCTTCCTATCATTAAGGCGAAGACACACATTGATCTTGAAAGACAAGCCCAAGAAATCATTAATATAATGACGAATTGGTGCAAGTCTGACAAAATGAAGTTGGCAGTGGAAAAGTCAGCACTAATATGGCTTAAAGGCCAGCTAAGCGAGAATAGGAACCCTACAGTCAAAATTGGGAAAGACAACATTAGAACGCACAAAACAGTCAAGTACCTAGGAATCATGATCTCGAAGGGCTTCCGATTGGAAGAACATATTCGAAACGTGGTTCAAGACTGTAATAACACCTATTTCAAGCTAAGTAAAATAGCAAAAGCGAACTGGGGCCTAAAATTCCGTTCTATGAAAAAGATATATAATGGCTTCCTATTATCGAAAGTTACATGGCTGGTGGCAAAGAACTAACATCAAATAACAATCTGCTTTAGAAAGATTGCAGCGATCAGTTCTTTGCAGAACACTCAAAGCCTACAAATCGATCTCTCATGAAGTTTCTGGGATATTTGAAACGTGCGTGAGTGAACGTAGAGGCAATCACAGCAGCAGTAAGCGGATAGCAGCATTAAGTGCAGCAACAACAGTTTGGAAGCAGGCGAGGCAGCGCAACTGATTCCTGAGCAGTACCAACAGTCGATTTGCTTCAACAATTACGGTTGGTCACCGTAATTGTACCACAGGGTAGATGGACCTCCCTTTTTCTGCGCGACAAAATATTCACGCAAATATTTTGTCTATCGCGACTGTTATTTTTGTATTCGCACCGAGCGTTAGATACCGTTCACGGCAGCGTTTTGAATTCTCTCTCTCTCTCTCTCTTCCCGTATTATTGTTAAACATTGTAAATCCTATTCGCGTGCGTTAGTCTTTCGGCCCATCAAAGACTGTAATTTTGTAGTCATAAACGATATTAATTTTATTCGCTGCATTACGTTATTTCGTTTCCTATTAGTTTAACGGATCTATCACCGGTTAAATTTTAGACCGATTGATCGAATCGACTACCGTTGCACTATTGAAAAATATTAATTTTTTAAATGTATTAAATACAAAGGATTAGCGCTTGCACTCCTCGCGATACTTTATAATATAACGAAAGAAGAAAAACAAGACCCTTAATTAGTACACAAAATTGAACAAAGTATTGAAAACGCTACGAATTATATTGAAAAATCAGTTTTTAATTGTTTCCAAACTTTAAAAAGCTATACAAACATTTTGGATTTCTGACTGATACCGGAAAAACCGCTTTGAAAATGCTTTTAGTACTTTTTAGGAATGTTTTCGAAACGCTTTCAGAACTTTTTCGGAACCTTTTCGAAACGTTTTCGGAACCTTTTCAAAACGTTTCTAAAAGACTCATGAACTTATACAGGGTGGTCATATTTAACGTTTCCGAAACTTTTTCGAAGCATTTTTGGAACCGAAATCGCTAAACGCTTTTAGGTTCTCAGCGAAACATTTTTGAAACATTTTTAAAACCTTTTTGTGTTATTCGGGGGTTTTTTCCTACGTTATGGCTGCCGGTTACAGTAGATTCAAATTTACTATATCACGTTTTCACTATATTACGTTTGGTTAAATTTGTAATTGGAAAACTTACCGACAGTAAGCTCTTTGATTCATAAACTCCTTACTATTTAAGTATTTTATGTAGTTTCAGTCCTACATGTCAGACTATATCTCCTCTCTTTGTGCGTTACTACGGAATCGAGAGAGAGCCTACTTCTATTAAATAGAGGATGTTTTGTGTTGCTGTGATATCACAGCCCAGTTGATCACTGTACTCAATACAGACGCACAAATTTCAACCCTAAAACCTCAATTATGTCAATCAATCTCTAAAATCGCACTGATCGGGATGAATGAGTTACATCATATGCAACATATACTATCGGCCTCTGCTTGATAAATTTCATATATTTCTACAAGAAATAAAACCTGGCTTTTCAAAAAATCGTGGCTTTCTGTATGCATGACCTTCCTTAATTTTTCGTATCTTCACATTCAGACCTAACCGTATAACGTGACCGTAGACGGCTCTCGTGCTCATTTACAGCCTATCCTTTGCAGTGAACATCGGATAAACCACTAGGCTTTTGTACTTAAAGGATTACGACGAAGAAGACACCAGCAGTAGCCGACGAATACAAAGGCTGCTCGTACGGGCAACTACCATTGCACACATGTTCAGCAAAAAAAAATATTCACTCTGCTACAACTTATACTAACGTAAATTATAACTATAGTTTGATATTTTGAAAATGTCTGTTCGATTTTTCATAAGTCAATAAATTTAGTAAAAGATGTAAAACCGCTTAAAACTCATGGAGTACAAAATAGATCATTTAAATTCGATTTAAAAAATTGTTACATCACAATTTTATTTGACATCACAAAGTAAAGCAACACCGCGCAAAATCCAATAATCTGGAGATTTTTCCGTTGGTAACCAGAGTGGTGTTACGAAGTGCACATAAGTTCTAGCTGGCTTTTTATAGACTGGACACTACAAATAAAAAATGTAATAACATACTGAATGATTAATTGACAATGTATACTTATTACTGACGTTGTAAACTTTCATAATTTTTTCTGGAGCATTGTAAACTGCATAAATATGTATTACTGGCATCATAACATAAAGAACTTTATTAGCTGAGTCACAAAGCCGGTTATGTCTTTTATTCCATCCCGCACCTTCTAAATACAGACCATGCACATACACGCCTTCCTACACAGTGAATGTAGAACAATCAAGTAGGCAGCATATACAATGAGTTTTTTATTGTGAGAATAGTAATAATAATAGCATACAACTGGAGGAATTTTAACTTCATCAGAGTTAAATTTAGTGACATCATTGTAAAGAACTACATTGTCTAAAGCCCAACCTTTGTGCATACGAGTAACTTCTTGTCTCATTGCAGTTAAAAATCCTATGAATAAATATTTGTGTGAGTTTTCTGAATAATTTACTTATTAATTATAATGCAAAACCGGATTTGTTACATATTAAATTTACAAAACTAAATAAAATACGATTGAGTTGGAAAATGAATTTGTTATAAAGCTCAAATTCAAAATAAATTAAAGCTGAATATAAGAATTTATATATAAAGGAAGTTTTTTGTGAGTCGGAACAGAGTTCTCTCCAAAATTCATATGAATGGATTCTGGTGATTAAAGGCTCAAATTGTTCCTCATCAACTCCCCTTCATGAACCTACATGGTCTTTTCGAAAATATTAACATTATGGCTCAAGATCGCGATCACAAAACACGAAAAAATGGAAACCTCAATTATAAAAGTTTGTAAAAAAAGCTTTAACGTTCTATTCAATTAATTAAAGCCTCAAATTATTGATAGTTGACATTCTCATAGGGTGAAGAAGATAGAATGATGAAATCGAAGAGGGTTTATACAAGATTGCGGCTAAAAGTGAAAAATCGTCCAAATTAAAAAAAAGATAGTTAGATAGATATCATATTTAGTCTACAGAAATTGTTGAGGTCGATGAATAAGAAAATGAGGTTAGATTTTACAATTCCAAATAGCGGTTCCAATATGGCGTCAACATCTCTTAATTCTAGCTAAATTTGAAAAAATTATTAAGTAAAATCATCTTATTGATGGACATAAAACGATTTTTAAGGTTACTGAATAAAAATCTGAATTTAGATTTTCAAAATTTAAAATGGCGAACCTAATATGGCAGTAGCACCCTAAAATCTGGTTAAGTTTACAAAAATCAAGTATAATAGTATAGTAGTATAGTATATTTAGTATAGTATAGTATAGTAGTATTTTCATGTTCGCGGAGAACGTCTTGCTTAATTGTGAAAATTGGATATATAATTCTTATTCAACAATTTTAGAAACTACTATAAATGTATTACCGAGACGATTCTGATTATTATTATTATTCGTTTAACCTTAATTTTCAGAGTGTATCGCAGGCACATTACATTCGTCATTGTGAATTTTGAAAATTATATCTCAGATTCTTATTCAGTAACCTCAAAAACCGTTATACATCTATTAACAACACGATTATACCCATTTTATGTAAGCTTAACTGAATTTTATGACGCTCGTGCCATATTGGATTTGCCATAATAAATTTTTAAATCTAAGCTCAGATTCTCATTTCGCAACTTCAAAAACTTCCGTAGACTGAAATTGGTATCTGTCTGACAATATTTTTTCTTAATTTTGACAATTTTTTGCTTTTAACCGTCATTGTGGATCAACTATTTTGAATTTTGCCATTCTATCTTATTAACCCTACAAGGACGCGACTTACCAACACTTTGAGACCGTCATTGAATATAACGTTAAAAAATTTTTTTACAAGCTTTCATAATGAAGGTTTTCATTTTTTCGTATTGTGTGACCGCCATATTGAGTCATCATGTAATTATTTTCGAAAAGGCTATATGCGTTTATGAAAAGGGGTTGATAAGGAATCACTTGAACTCTTAATCGCCAAAATCCATCCATGTGAATTTTGGAGAGAACTATGTTTTGATTGACAAGAACGCTTCACATATACGATACGTATACATATATATATATATATAGATACACGCACACATGCGCGCGCATGCGCATGCTCGTACACGTACACACACATACACATACACACACACGCACGCACGCATGGACGCACGCACAAACATTCCGCTACACCAGTCCCAAGCCCAGGGCTCCGCCATGCAAGGTAGGGAAGGAAGAGGGAAAAAAGTAACAACCTCATTAAAATAAACAAGAAAAATCTGGCCGGGATGTTAGCATCTTGTGATAGGGTCCCTGTCCAGGGTTAATTAAATAAACGGATATATTCGCCTACCCGCTAGGGCTGACTGCCGTGCTTGTCGTACGGTGCGATCCATGAGCTGCCAAAAGGAGATCCTGGATTGGAATATAATCCAACACTATATGCTGAAGTGACTTGAACCATCTTTGGCTCCCGCTGACGCCAAGACCAGCGACCAGTATCTAGCTAGCACTGGTCAATCCGCTTGGCGAGTGCGTAATGTTGTGCGAACCATGTCGGAAACTTTCCAGAGACCTAAACACCTATATTTGGAGTCAGAAGGTCGAGAGAGCAGAGGTGAGCTAACACGACAGGATGTGCTATATTCGAGTGTCATATACCCAGTCTGGTACCGCTTACAGGTATGTGTTGGGGCCAGCTGTCCCCATAGATGGAGGGACGAGGTCCAAAGGGTCGTACATACACCGGGACGAAACTAAAGAGAATATGTCGAAAATAAACATAACCTAACAAGGGGGGAGATAGAGAGAGATTACCGTATTGGTATGGAGGAGGAGGACAGCGGACAGAGAACGCCGCTGGAAAACGCAGCAGCAGATGAGAAATCTAAGTCCTTAAATCCATGGCAGGAGAAAGTTAAGGTACTTTTGAAGTTTGTTCTTGACAATTACAACGTTTATTAGGAAATTATGGAGATGGCAAGAACTTCTGACAAGGCTCTTAGCCAATAGATGATAGTAAGAAGTGCCGGAGCACCAATCGGGCATGGGCATATGTCGAGCATACCAGACAATGCTCTTCTTTAGGATTCAAACAAAGAGAGTAAATACCCAAAAGATGAGAGAAGAGGTGACGCCAACCCTGCTGATTCCACAGGCGGTAAAAAAAGCGGAAAAAAAGTTGAATCGAAATAAGTTCACCCCTCAAATGATATCTACAAAAGTCCAGGAAAAACTGAAGAATTGGTAACGGTAGACAAAAAAAGGATAAAAACAAGGATGCAGTAGCAACAAGAGAAGACGACCCAGGCAAACAAGGTCATCAAAGAAAGACCAAGGACGAGGAATGGTCCCCGACCACCTCGCACCGATGCCATCAAGATTAAGGCAATTGGTGAGGGCTTGTACACAGAGATCGTGGTTATGGAACACAGAGAGGTAATCATCATTAGGGACATAGATGAGGCTACTACCAAGGAAGAAGTGGCAGGGGCCACCCAAGCAGTAATAGGGGAGAACGCAATCGCCCCTGATGCCATAAACATCAGGGACTTGTACCTGGTAAAAGTCATAATCCCTACAGCCACTGCAAATAGGTTGCTGAAAAATGAGATGCTAAGGATATGCTCAGTCAACTGCAAAGTACGAACCCGAGAGACAACACAGTAGTGTTACCGATGTCTTAAAATGGGCCACATGGCAAAAGACTGCAAGAGCTCAGAAGACCGATCGAAGTAATGCTTCAGATATAAGACAGAGGGCCACAAGGCGGTTAACTGCCTAAATGCCTAGAAGACGAGCCACAAGCGATGATTGGATACACCTAACAAAGATGGTTGCTGCGGAAAAGACGGAGGCCTCCCGCACCAAAAAAAAAGGTACATCACCGTCACGGTGGAAGGCAAGCAGATACGATTAGGGGACCAACTGACATACCTAGGCATCACACTAAATACACGGCTCTTACTTAAAGACCATCTTATAAATGCAGGCAACAAGACATTGAACATTGTTCAAGCAATAGCAGGCATTATACTCAATATTGAGGGATCTAAGCAGTCGCGAAGGCTGTGACTTTCGACAGTTGTGAGCTTTGTAATTCTATATGGTGCTCTCACACATCTGGGCCGACACGCTGACGAGTAACACAACTTACAGAGCTTTGTGCCGAAAGGCTTGTAGAACAGCCACACTAAGAATAACCCGTGCATACCGCACCATGTCCGATATAGCTATATCGGTGATCTCGGGAATTGTACCGATAAAACTATTGGCAGCTGAAAGAACTACTAAATATTGCAGAGGACGAAATGACGAAACTGACAAACATCCGAACCCAATCCAGAAGGCTCTAATGAACGATGGCTCCCGGAAAGGGTTGAAAAAAAAGAATGGGACTCAGCCACAGATGGTCACTGGACGCACCGTATCATTTCAAACATCAGAAAGTGGAAGAGGAGACATGGATACATTACGTTCCAGCCGACTCAGGTGCTCATTGGTTATGGATATTTTCACTATTACCTGCACGGCATTAGTACACACATAGCGAGTGCCCTATTTACCCAGAAATCGACGAGGACATCCAGCTTAACCGAAAGCTGGGAGGTGGTCGTGGTTCTCTCAACATCAATAACGGACCAGCTGAACTCCATCAAAAGAAAAGAAGAACGAAAAAATGAAGAAAGAAGAGAACAAGGATTAAGACAATGAAGATGGAAGACGACGAAGAGAAAAAACTATGACGACCTAAAAACGAAAGGGCTGCTATAACCGAAGCCTCCCCTGAGAAGCAAAGATGGAATTAAAGAGGTAGGAATTTGGAGGGTATACCTGAAGAAGGCCACTATTGCACGTTCGCAATAATGGTCCGAACAGGAGAGTCCAACACATGGCGAGTTCCGATGGCTCGTTATGATGCATAAAGTATTCTTCAACTCTTCGGATAAAAGAAAACATACACACACATACATATACGTATCCCCCCACACTCACACAAAAGATTACCTTGTGGATTGAAAAATCCGGTCATCCAAAATGTCGTTGGTCTTCCGTCATATAACCACGAGGAGAACTGTTGATTGCGCTCTATAAGTTCTGTAAACCAGAATCCAAGAGTCGTTGATTCCCAAGACTTTGATTTCCAAAATTGCGGGATTCGCGCATCATATATATTGTCAAATGCGTCTCGAAGTTGCTAATGAAAATATATAGTTTTACTTATTAAGATTATATGACGATAGAAAATCCAAAATAATTTTAATTCTCAATTCAACAGTAAAGGTTATATTACTAAACTAGAAAAAAGATATTTTATATAAAAGTTTTATAAAAAATTCTTATCATCAAAAATCTAATATTTAACCCTTTGCGGCACACATTTTTGAAACAATAATATAAATATGAAAACTGTTACCCGGTAGGTTTTTGGGGTCACTGATTACGAATCTGAAGTCAGAATTTGAAAATTTTAATTTCCAAGATGGCGGATCCAATATGGCGGATCCATTTTTCAGCTAGATTGAAGTATCCTGAATGGAAGTAGAAAGCCGATATATGACAGACCCATGTGTTTGTTCAGTGTTTTTTTTACACTCGCCATTCCATACTATATTCTGCTAAAATTTTTACATTTTTGATAATATTACCACTCTTAGCCGAACCCAGAGACATGAGCGAGGACGTAGTGGTAAGTCTCCATTTTTGTATTTTTGTTTATTTTTTATTTTTTTATTTTTTTTAATTTTTTTCTTATTTTTTCTTTATTTTATTTTTTTTTTTTTATTTTTCATTTTTTCATTTTTTTATATATTTTATTTTAATTTCTGTTAAAAATTATATTTTATTTAGTTATGATACAAATGAAAACAGTTTCTTGTAGGTGTTATACTATACACAATGGTACTTCACAAATCTTACATATCCATGATAAACGTTTTTGATCCTTTTTTGTGCTACAATGAGCACAACGCCTCGATTTGTCAGTGTAAATGGGTAAATGAGACGATTCACATCGTCTTTTTTCAATTGAAACCTGAGGCTTGGCTGTGGTTGTTACAATTGTTCTCAAACGTTTTCTACCTTTAGAAGTTGGGAATTTACCCTCAACCAGTTGGTATTAAAGTCAAGCGAAATTGTTTAGAACTCATGCAAGGTTTGAAATCTTTTTTGCTATATAAAATGAACGAATTAAGAATAGTTGTATCCAAGAGATGCCAAAATATTCGATGCCACCATTTTTTTGATTTTCGGTCAATTTTGTAAGTAGATATTAGTTGATCTGATTTATCAACAAAACCCATGTATTTATTATAGTCTGAACACATTACAGGACAACTAACATTTTTCGACGAGCCATCTTTTTGTTTACGCATTACTGTAGTTACTTCAGAAGGATTATGATAGTTCGATAAAAAATTAACTGGTTTTTTATCCATCCATTTTATCCACCGAACGCCTGTATTCGAGCATTTATATTCAAATTTACCAGGTTCTAAATTCTTGTCAGATATATCACTCTTAGGTAGTCTTTTTCGATCTTTACGAACTGTCCCGCAAGCAAAAATATTGTCTCGTTTCAGATCAATCATTAATTTAACGCTTGTAAAGTAGTTGTCAAAATACGAGGTGTGTTCAAAAAGTAACGAGAATTTTTAAATTTCGCGGGTTTGGAGAGTCCGCTTGTATAAAATTTTGTTTTTATTATGTTGGTACACATGCCCCTGAAGTACGATAAAATTTTCAGCAATATTCATTGCTTACTTTTTAAGTGGCAGCCGCTAACGTTAGACGTGTTTTTCGAGCTCGGCGATTTTCGTTTGTGAAAAAAAATGGATCAAAGAATTTGTATTAAATTTTGCGTAAAAAATGAAATAAAGTGTAGTAAAGTTTGTCAAATGTTAACAAAGGCATATAGTGAGTCTGCTATGAGTAAAGCAAGGATTTATGAGTGGTATAAGCGTTTCCAAGATGGCCACGAAAACGTTGAAGATGACGAACGACCCGGACGCCCAAGCACATCAACAACCGATGAAAACGTGAAAAAAGTGAAAGAAATGGTTATGAACGATCGCCGAATCACAATCAGAGAAGTCGCTGATGATGTTGGCATATCAGTTGGCTCATGCCATCAAATTTTTTCGAATGTTTTGGGTATGAAACGTGTGGCAGCAAAATTCGTTCCAAAATTGTTGAATTTCGAACAAAAACAGCGGCGAATGGAAGTTGCTCAGGAGTCGCTAAATGAAGTCAATAACGATGCAGAACTACTGAACGTGTTATAACAGGTGACGAAACATGGATTTACGGATATGATGTCGAAACTAAGGCTCAATCGTCCCAGTGGAGGCATTCTGGATCGCCAAGACCGAAAAAGGCTCGACAAGTACGGTCGAATGTGAAGGTTATGCTCACTGTGTTCTTCGATTTTAATGGCATAGTGCATTATGAATTCTTGCCACAAGGTCAAACAATCAATAAGCAGTACTACCTACAAGTTCAACGTCGTTTGCGTGAAGCAATCCGAAAAAAACGCCCGGATTTGTGGCAAAACAATTCATGGCTTTTGCACCACGATAATGCGCCTGCTTACACTTCATAGCTTGTTCGTGAATTTTTGGCCAAAAACGAAACTGTAAGGATGCCTCAGCCTCCATATTCGCCAGATATGGCTCCATGTGACTTTTTTCTATTTCCAAAAATAAAGAGAACATTAAAAGGCCGCCGTTTTACAAGCATAGATGACATTAAAAGCGAATCGCTGAAAGAGCTAAAAGCTATTACAAAGATCGAGTTTCAAAAGTGTTTCGAGGATTGGAAAAAGCGTTGGCATAAGTGTATTGTATCCGAAGGGGACTACTTTGAAGGCGACAACATTAATGTAGATGAATAAATAAATATTTTTTTCATAAAACGAAAATTCTCGTTATTTTTTGAACACACCTCGTATACGTGATGATTATCACCAACAAGTTCTCGTGTAAGTTCTTTTACAACTCGTGGCCCAAGATCTTTTTCAGTACTTTCCTTTTTACCCGTGTATATCTGAAATTCACATATGTAACCCGATTCATCTGCACGAACCCAACATTTGTACCCACGTTTGATTGGTTTTTGAGGCATGTATTGTTTCAAGCTACTGCGGCCTTTGAATTTTATCATTGATTCGTCTATGGATTGGTATTTACTTGGAGTCATATATTTTTTAAAATTTTCATTCAGCTTATCTATCATAGGTCGCAATTTATATAATTTGTCATAATTTGGTTCTGTTCTTTTTGGTTCCTTGCTGTTATCAGTCATGTGAATGTTACCAAGAAAAAATCCGAAACGATTTACGGTCATCAATGAACTTATGTAAGGATCATTCAGTTTAGGGTCAGAAGACCAATAATCACGATACGATGGCATTTTTTTGATTCCCATAAGAATATTAATGCCTAAAAAGATGATCAGTTCATTTTTCGTTATAGGTATTTGTTTTCTATTATTTTGATGAGCATAATTATTTCTTTGCAGAACTATGAGGTCTAAAAGATCTTCTGAAAATAAACACGAAAACAAATCCAATGGAGTTCTAATATCTTCTGGTATATTAGGGCCAAAATTTTTAGTAAAAGGGATGTCATCCTTCGATCTGGCTTTATTGACCCAGTTTTCTTTACTTTTTGCATCTTTTTCCAATACTTCCACCACTTCATCTTCCACCTCTTCATCTTCAGTTAAAACTTCATCTCCTACTTCCTCATCTTCATCATCTTCTTCCTCTTGTGCATCTTCATCTTCTTCTTCTATCTCATTTTCATTTCGTTCTATATCAGAATTGCATAATCCGTCAATAGATTCCGAATCACTAGGAATAACTGTCACAAGAACCCTACGTGCTCTAGTCATATTTTGATGTGTATCAAATTAATTATAACAGGAAAAATATTACCAAACAAATACCAAAGATAATGAACATAAAAAATATATTAGCTATATATTTGAAAAACGACTAAATTTTTGTAGCTGCGAAAATGGTAAAATAAAGTATTTTAAAATTTATGAAAAATTTACTTGTAATTTTTATACATGGAAAATTTGGAATTGAAAAAAATTTAAATGAAAAATAGCCCGTTATTTTGAATTGTAAAATTCCAATTTCTGAATTTTGATTTGTGAACAGCAGGTTCTATCACCAAACAACAAATCAACTTACTCCAATTTTAACAAAAAAAATAGATATTTAAAATTGTTTCTGACTTTAGGCACAACATGCAAAACACTCAAATAATAATTTCGTCATAAAAAAATGATAAATAATTTTTGAACACACATGGGATAATCAATGTACACCGAAACTTAGAATTAAAAAAATTTACTCTTAATTTATATTATAAAGTATATATTATAAAAATATCTCTTAATTTATATTATAAAGTCGAAATATTGAAATCCGATTTTTAGGTAAAATTTCTTTTTACGATACATGAAATGTATTTTATAAAGAAAATCACCTAAACAATGGATCCGCCATATTAAATCTGCCAACTTGGAATTAAATATTTTCAAACTTTGACTTAAAAATCGTAATCAACGACCCTCAAAACCCCAAAGTAACGAGTTTGATCTAAAATATATGGAAAAAGCAAACTTAGCTGAAAAATTCATCCACCACATTGGATCCGCCATCTTAGAAATTAAAAATTTTCAAATTCTGAATTCAGATTCGTAATCAGCGACCCCAAAAACCCCTTAGTACCGAAATTGACTCAAAATAAATGAAAAAATAAAATTTAGCTGAAAAATGGATCCGCCATATTGGATCCGCCATCTTGGAAATTAAAATTTTCAAATTCTGACTGTAGATTCGTATTCAGTGACCCTGAAAACCTACAAGTAATTTTTTTTTGCACGATTATAGTAACATTTGCTTTCAATAATGATTTTTTTTCTAAAAAATCGTCATTTTGGTGCACTTTTCAGCCATTTTTTAAAAAATGGCGACTAAAAATCGATAATTTGATATAGTTATACATTCATTAACATATTAGAAGGATAAAATATTAAAAATCCCCGCGAGCAAGGATTTATTAGAGCCCTTCATACATGAAAATCTCATTTCAAAAAGGTGGAAAGTATACTTACCACTATGCCGCAAAGGGTTAAGTTAATCAAGTAGTCACAGGCATAAAAAAAGAACAAAATTTTATGTATAACTCGTAAGTATAGATAAATAACACAAGCCGACAAATTTCTCACCTAGAAACAGAACCTTGTGTGCCTGAAGGATTTTGGTGCGCTGAATCCGAATCTGACCTACGAATTAACCCTATATGTCAGGTTTTCGAGATATTCTAACCTTAAAGTGCGAAAAACACGGTTTATTGCTATATTCGAGGTTATGTGACACCGGGAATAACTTTTTTTTTTAAATGGATAATACCACCACAAAAGAGAACTCTTGCCCTTTAAAATCCATTTTTCAGATTCTAGATAACTTTTTTTTCATCGAGGTATCACTGATTGAGTTTAAGTACTTTCACAATTTTATAATAACATTAAAACAGCCTATATAGCATATGTGAGGCTATAACCCCAATTTATAAGTGATTGGTATCGATCGAAAAAATGTATACATGGGTTTTCGGGAATGTTGATTACGAATACGAAGTCAGATGTAGAAAATTTAAAATGGCGAATCCAATATGGTGCACCAAATATTTTTTGTAACCGAATTCAACTGGAAAAATGTACACTTAGGTTTTTGGAGTCGATGATTACGAATATGAAGTCATATTTTGCAAATTTAACATGGCGGATCCAATATGACGGACCAGAAATATTATATTTGATTAAATTTGAACGAAAAAATATATACATGGATTTTTGGGGTCGCTGATTAGAAATATAAAGTCATACTTTGCAAATTTAACATGGCGGATCCAATACGGCGGACCAAAAATTTTATATTAGACTAAATTCGAACAAAAATATATACATGGTTTGTTAAGGTTGGGTTACGGATCATAATTTATGACCTAAAAAACCTATAGATATAGACTATGAAGTCATATTTTGCGAATTCGAAATGTCGGGTTTAATGAACCAGGCCAAAAATATTTGATATGATAGAATTTGAACTAAAGAAGAAGAGAGTGTTTCACAATGAGTTTCTGTTTCATAAAATCTAACTTCAACGATACCTCAAATATATAAGTAAAAAAAATGTAAAGAATATTTTCTTTAAATCAAATCAAATATCAAATATTTGGTCTGCTATATTGGAACAGCGATTCGAAAAATTTACGGGTGGCATATTAAAGTTACGATCGAATTCACGTACTCATTGAGTGAATGAAAGGGTTAAGGGATTTGAGATTCAAGGGTCTGGGAATATACACTTGCAAGTAACAGGGTTCCAGAGGACTGAGAATATACACTCGCAAGTCACGGGGCTAGGGGGTTGAGGTAACTGGGGATTAAGGGTTTGGGGTTATAACCTCGCACGTTACAGGGCTAGGGAGTTAAGAAATTTTTATTTTAAGCGTTGTGGTCTAGATGGTTCGGGAGTTAAGGAGAGGATGAGAGGTAAGAGCTCTGTAACCTGTTCGGCTGTAATTCCTAATCCTTAAACCCAAATGTCTTTAATATCAAAATCTAACTTCATATTCGTGGTCAGTAACCCCAAAAAGTCCATGCTTAAATGTTTTAGATTGAATCCGATCACTTATAAAATTTTTGTTCCACATATTGGACCGCCATTTTGAATTTTCAAAATCTGACTTCAAATTCATGATCAATAATACCAAGAACTCAAGTGTACATTTTTCCAGTTGAATCTGGTCACATTAAATTTTTGGTCCACCATATTGGATCCGGCATTTTAAATGTTCTACATCTGACTTCGTATTCGCGATCAGCATTTCCAAAAACCCATGTATACATTTTTTTTATCGATATCGATCACTTATAAATTGGGGTTATAGCCTCACATATACTATATTGGCTGTTTTAATGTTATTATAAAATTAAGAAAGTACTGAAAATCAATCAGTGATATCTCAATGAAAATAAAAAGTTATCTTGAATCTGAAAAATGGAATTTAAAGGACAAGAGTGTTCCTTTGTGGTGGTATTACCCGTTTTTGAAAAAAAATTATTCATGGTGTCACATAACCTCGGATATAGCAAAAAACCGTATTTTTTGCACTTTTAGGTTAGAATATCTGGAAATCCTGAAGTATAGGGTTAATTCTGAGGTCAGATTCGGATTCAGCGCACCAAAATTCTTCGGGCACATAAGGTCATGTTTTTGGGTGAGGATTTTCATTAAATTTTGTCGGCCTGTGTAATCATCCCGCAAAGTAAATTATAACTTCATTTTAAAACTTGTATAGGAAAATATCATATTTCATACTCATACTTTCATATTCCTTTTCTTAACTTGAAAGTCAAAAATAAATGATAGAATACTTTCATTTAGACGTAAAAGAAAATAAATAGAAATAAAAACTCTATTCCTAGTGAATAAGAGAAAAAAAATGTTATCTGTATTTCCTATTACAGTTTGCAAATGTTGATCATAGTTATCTTGTTTTACATAGGAATAAAAGTACTAAATTTATTCAACAATAAAAATAAAAAATTTAGTTAACAATAAGTTTATTACTTTTCTCTGGATGGAAAGGATTATCGACTATATGAATTTATATTATAAGTCTCATGATTAGTTAACTCGCAATATGAAGCACGTTCAATTAAAGCTTTTCGTGTCTTCCCCGTATTCACCTTTTAGAATCGCTTGAGACTACTATCGTTTAAAACAAGATTAATATCATACTTTCAAAGCGTATATCTTTGCGCAAAAACCGCATGAAAATGAGACTTAGATAACATTTAAACTAAAAAAATTGCTCATCGATACATTAGTGGTTCATCTAGAACAATTGGCAAAATTGTGTCAACAATTAGAAGGAAAAAACACACATTTTTGAGCAATTTTAGACATGGATAACTTCGTACAGTTGTTATTTTTTCAATGTTTTAAATACTCAGACAGAAAGGTCAATTTATAATTCAGTCTTTTTGAAGCCATGATGAAATTTTAATAGAAACCAATCAATTTGATTGTAAACGACATTCGCCGAAAAATATACGTCATGAATGCGTTATTCAATTAGTTTTTGATTCGATATAATATTGAAGAACTTTTGAGCTTTTTTGATTTTTAATAAATTTTTGAACGGGGCAGTATATTATTTTTGTATTAACTACGAACAACGATAAACTACTATTGGTCATACTTAACATTAAGAGACTGGCATTTTGACATTTATGTAATATGTTAAAAAATTTATGAACAATGAATATAAAATTCGAAAGCAATTGAACAAGCTATGGGAGATAATTTCGTTTCGGGGATTTCTATTTATATGTAAACTATTTGGTTTATTTTCAATTCTGTCTTAGTTGCTTTAGGAAGACTTTGAATTATAAGCTGGATTTCTTTCCGGTTTTTTAATCTATTGTAATAATTTGGTAGTTATGTTCACGTCTGATCATTCTATGGTCAATTTCGGAAATTAGTGCATTTTTTTCTAATTGCCGACACAATTTTGCTAATTGATCTAGATGAACCGCTTTCAAATTAAGCAACTCGCAAAATCTAAAGCTTCAACGCTATGTAAATCTAATTTTCATGCCATACTCTTCGAAAGTAAAGCATCTATTTTTTGTTAATCGATACTAGAATTTCTATAAATTAATACTCGAAAAATTTATGATCGAAACACACCAAAAACTTATCCACTATTGAAATTATAGTATGACCAAACAAAATTATAATGGCTCTATTACATTATATAACAATATCATTCTAACCTCACTCATGATTATTACTCCCTCGATAGCAAGTAATAAGTTTTTCAATGTAGATCTAACTAGATTAAGGACCACCTGGATGCGATCTATTTCTTGTTTTAAAAATATATTCATTGGAGCTGTGTGTCCCATGGCACGCAATCTAATAAAAAAAGTAATAGATTAATTTCTACATATAATGATATTATATTCAAATATTTTATTATGTTCCTGTAAAAACCAAAATACCTTTCCTTGACTTTAAATGGATCGTAAGGTGGTGGTAACTTTTCTAACATATCTTTTGCTTGTCTATTAACTACAATTTCTCTCGATTCTCCTCCGCCACTTCCAGACTCCTTAGGCTGAACCGATATGATTGTATTGAGAATGTTTTGTGTCGTATTACTTTGATACCTATTATCAGATTAAAAATTATATTGGTAACAATAAATTATTTTATAGAAAATTTGTTTAATGGTCAAATATTTTTCAGAAAGAGCAAGCGAGTTTACTGGAAATTTATTTTATTTATGCTAGGAAAGTGTCTTTCTTTCAAAACTCGAGACATTCTTCATAACCAGTGTATGTATGAGATTCATTATTTTTAGAACATACGAGGGTGGTCCGATAAGTACTTAGCCTCACCGCCCGATGGCGCCACTCTCGCAAAAGAAATATTCTGTCACGTAATACAACCTTCTCGATGGTTACTGTCAAGATTTCAGCCAGATTGGAGATGTAGTTTATTTTTGAGAGCGTGTGAAAGCAAGTGTGTCCGTTGATTTTTGAAAAATGGAAAAAGAGCAGTATCGGTTGGTGATTCGATTTTTGTTTTTGGAAGGGAAATCGCGCAGCGAAATCAAAAAGCGCTTGGATGCTGTGTACGGTGACTCTTCTTCTTCGATGGCGACCGTCAAAAATTGGTTTAACGAGTTTCAACGTGGTCGCACGTCGATTTTTGAAGAGCCACGTTCAGGTGCTCCGAAAACGGCTACTACGGAGGAGGATAACGTGACAATAATTCACGATCTCGTATTGGCAAATCGTGTGCGAGATATCTAAGATCGTAGGCATCTCAAAAGACCGCGTGGGTCATGTCCTGCATGAAATTTTGGGCATGAGAAAGCTGTCGGCGCGATGGGTGCCGCGTTTGCTCACTCCGGACAACAAGCGCAACCGTGAGACAACTTCAGAGCAATGTCTGACGCTGTTTAAGCGCAATCCGAAGGAGTTTCTGCGTCGTTTCGTGACAGTCGACGAAACATGGATCCACTGGTATACACCAGAGACCAAGGAACAGTCGAAACAGTTGAGTTTACCCGGCGAAAGTGCTCCGAAGAAGGCGAAGACTGCCCATCGGCCGGAAAGGTGATGGCCACCGTTTTCTGGGATTCACAAGATGTGATCTACATCGACTACCTGGAGAGGGGCAAAACGGTCACAGGGCTATACTATGCCGAATTATTGGGTCGATTCGACATCGAATTGCAGAAAAAACGACCCCATTTGGCGAAGAAAAAAGTGCTCTTCCACCAGACAACGCACCGGCTCACACCTCCGCCGTCGCCATGGCCAAATTAGTCGAATTAGGCTACGAACTGTTGCCCCATCCACCGTATTCTCCAGATTTAGCCCCGTGCGACTTCTTTTTGTTTCCAAACTTGAAAAAGTCACTCGCCGGGCAGAAATTGGAGTCGAATGAGGAGGTAATCGCTGCCACGAAAGCCTACTTTTCAGACCTCGAGGAAACGTATTTTTCAGACGGGTTAAAGAAGTTGGAGCATCGGTGGGCCAAGTGTATCGAACTAAAAGGAGACTATGTTAAAAAATAAAACGCCACTTTTCCAAAATTTTCGTTTCTCTTTTGTAGGCTAAGTACTTATCGGACCACCCTCGTATTTCTATAGCGCCAAATAAAAAATTGAATTTTTATAAAATAAGGCATAATTTTATTAGTTTTTAGTAGGGAATTTCATACGACGAATGTATGGTCTACTGTATAGCAGGTCCCTAACTGTTATATAATAAACTATATATACACTGCCGGAGTCTAATAACTCTGACATACCTGAGTTTTAGAAGTAAATACCTTTTTAAAAATCTTAAAACCTCTGGCTTGAAGGCATGGATTTGTAAGGACTCTGTCTTAGGTCAACACACATATACACCTACCGACACTATGAAGGTATACCTGTAAATAGTGAAATACAGGATTGACAGCACAAACAGCCTCGATATTGTCTCCGTAAGAGGAACCGAACATACTTTAATAAACGAAAAATCAAGAAATAAGTGCTGAATTATTTCATTAGGATCCAGGATAAAAGCCTAGAGTATAGAATGATTGAGCTCCCTATAAATGGGATGCCCGTGAAGTGAATAACGGTAACCTCGGTTTCTAAACCGAGCCTTGCTGAAGATGGAAAGATACTTTATTAGTGAATTGATCTCAAAAGTAAATGAGTCGATTTCTTAGTGAGATCCGGAGACAGCATATATCGGAAAGCCGCAATAGTAACGACCAGAAAGTAAATGTTTAGATATCCTATAATCGGGTTATGTTAGGAAGTAATTGGTGTATATGAAGAGACCTTGCAAACCTTATGAACGAGAGTAATGATACATACAATGATAGATCTATTCTATAAGTGAAGTAGATTAATGAAATATCAGATAAATGCATGGCTGCTCGAGTAGATAAAAGATACAACTGAAAAAATTGTTAGTGCTGCTAGGTCGCAGAATAGTACTTGGACCCGGGAGAATTAACCTCTCAATGTGTGACTGCTTTATCAGTTTGCTTGTAATCTCGCTCTGGACAGTAGTACTAGATGGCAGTCTGAATACGATCATGCTATATAGGGGAGAGAGATTCTATTAAGACTACTACTGTTTTGGCTGTCATTGCTGTCTATTACTTTACCGAAAAACGGGAAAAATATATTTCATAAACTCAACATGCGACCATTTATTTGTGTGTCAACTTGGATATGTCATGAATTGACCAATAAAATTCACTTGCTTAAATTTGGAAAGTAACTATTATGTTCTAATAATTGAAGTCACATTTTTCTCTTATTACTAATGATCGATATTGAATACACTGACAAATAAATTAATGAATGTATTGATTTTATGGATGAAGGAGAAATTTTTTATAAGATGATCGAATGAAAACACAAACATTTGATATATTTCCTTAAGCCCGAAAAATTATAAATATTAGTATATTTTTTGCGAATAAAATGAAAATATATAGCTGTGCCAGGTTAAACTGGTTTCATTAATAAAAAAGAGAAATAGCTTGGCTAATGCACATATATTTTATGAAAAAAATGAAAAACTTCGCAAAATCTAGAATTCGTTAAGCGATGAGTTGAAGGTATATTCTAATTATATTTCTTACGTGATATCTGCATTAGCATGTAGTCCATATGCTTGAGGTGGATCAGATGTTGACATTTCTTGTATCTTAGCGATATAGTCAGTAGTTTGTTTATATCGTAAAATAGAATATCCTTTGTAAAAAGTAAAATTTTCATCAAACAGTATATCAGAAAACCAAACTTTCGCAAAAGTATTGAGTAATCTTTTATCGTAGTCATCAGTAACGCGGCCGCCATATTGAACTTCACCTATCATGTATCTGAAAAGCCATAAATAATATTTATGGAAATATTTGTAACGATCGGTGTTTCATATATTGATACACTTGTCAAGGTAATATGAAAAAATATAAATATTTTAAAATAATTGAGTTATATTAAAGTTTGAAATTATAGACGCTGGAATACCGAATTGTTGGCCAACTAATGCCTTGTTTTGGATCGTAGTCACTCAAATAATTATTAATAAATAAGCATGAAGCCAGCCAGTCAGCGGAGTTGAATTCGTAAGGAATATTCCAACCAAGTGGGCCGAATTTTCGACGCTCTTGGACTACAGTATGCAAAAATGAAACTGTATAAATTAAAGGAATGTACTGTGGTGCATCACATTGATCAAGCATTAGTTGACTCATGCTACTATATGTTGAAAAAAGACCAGCTTTGATTCCTAAAATTTAATTACTGTTAAATGATTCACCAATAAAGGAAGTATTAAATATTGAAAATAATACGTGAAACAAAATGAGCTGGTAATAAGTGTACAGTATGTATTTAAATACCTTGAGGAGGCTCGCATGTAAATTTTAAGGACATTTGTAACAATGAAATAGGGAAATGGTTGTGGGGTTCTGTTGTTATCCACACTCGGAATCGATCATGGCATGATTCCATATCCAATATGTAATTGACAAGTTCTGACATATATTCAAGGCCTAAATGACAATTTTGGAAAAGTACCCAAAAACCCTATGAAATAACATCATGAATTTTTGTATAGTTTGATAAACTTGTATTTCTATTCTTTATATTATAAATGAAAAATAGTTACTTCTGCTTTGGCGCTATTTATTAATTTTCTTGCATGGATCTCTTGACCTTGACCCATTGAAATACTTTTACATAAAACTTCCATTTTCTTAGCAAGTTGTTCGATGTATGGAGTGGGATCGGATCCCATGCTTAAAAAGCCAATCATTGGCGTATTTGGTCTAGATTCCTCGTAAAGCACGTCTAGGAATACTATCACAGGATCTGCAAACCTTTCACCTAGTGAATTAGCTATATATTTTTTAGATTGTGATAAAGCTCGATCCATGCACCAGGCTCTACAAGTTTTTATGGATAACGTATAACATATTAATTTCAAAAAATTAAGATATCAATAAATATCAACTAAAGGATAATATGAAAAATTTTTGTTCAAACTCAAATAAATTACCGTATTAGTAGTAAACGAAGGAATGTATTCAGAGTGTTATAACCATCTGGAATAACATCCTCTTCAGGAGCTTCTTTATCAAACCAAATTTTCCAAGTTTTTTCCGATGCGATAACTTGATTCATGATATTTTGAAATTTAGTCAAAGACGAAAGAGCTGCTAGATTCAACCAGACAATATCTGTGATCCATTTGCAAGTTAAAGGTTTAGGCTGAACATCGTTCAAATCTAAAGCTGCTCCTCCCTTTATAAAATATTGAAATTCTTCATGCGTTATGGCGCCGCGTTCCAAGTCAATTTTAAGAGTCATTAAAAGCACAAACATAAATTTGTGAATCTCATAAAGCCCTCGAGCTTTATATCTGAATACTTCAAAGGTCAGGTATTCTATAATATTGTTTATCCGTTTTTGATTCGATGGATTTTTTTGAGATCTAGAGTAAATAAAGAATGATTATTATATTTTTGATTGTAACAAAAATAATTAGTGTTATTTAACGTTATATAGCAAGTGATTTCGATTTTCGAAAAGATATTTTTTGTAACGAGCCCCGCGAATGTGTAATGACTTACTTAAAGTAGGTGAACTTGAGATAGTGCTAAATTGTTTAAATGTGTTTTTTTTTGTTTTTACTATAGTATTCACCGTTTTACATCAAATTTGAATTGGTGCAATCGAATATACAAATACAAAACTTTAAGCTGCATTTTAAACGTGTTCTATTAGTATTTATGTTTCATAAGTAAAACAAGCGCTAGTATGGTATGGAAAAGATTATTTACAGCGCGCTAAATGAACATCTTTGGCATACCGTATTGGTGCTAACTGAGACATGGTGCTTAAAAGATTTTATAATCTTAACGAAGACATATTCGGGTTACGTGTAGGTGGCACTCAGGGGATAAATAGGTGGTTTACGACGCAACTGCACACCGATTTACTAGTTTCTTTTATTGATTTCATAGTATACAATCACAAACATATAGTGTTACATAAATATATTTATATTTTATAAATTGCTGTTCCTGTTGCTATTTTTCGTCGTCACTGTCCCTGTTGTTGTTATTGTTGTTGTTGGTGGTGTTGGTGTTACCGTCTACCGCCTGTAGTTGTTGCTGTTGCTCGTTGCTACGCTGTCGCACCTCGCTGTTTATCGCCAAACGCAAACTACTTGAAGCAATAGCCGCTCACACGAACACCCGCGTTATCTCGCTAGAACCACATATACTTGCCGAAAAATGACTGGGCGTAACCTAACCTAACCTAGCTAATACCATAATAAAAACCTTCCGCGTGCCAGGCGTATACTTCATACAATTATCTCGTCGGTGAGATCATGGGAAAACTTAAGGAAACGTAGGAAGCTTTTGTACAATCTGGCAGATATAGACTGAAAATCGAGGGTGCACGCACAGTTCCCTATCTTTCTTTCTTATCGTCTGTCTCTCTGTCTCTCTCGCTCTTCTCTCTTTTCTCTTCTATCTTCTATTTCTCTGTCTCTCCTCACTCTTCTCCTCCTTTACCACCTGCGCTCTCCTCTGGTGTTCGTCCACATACTACACCTCAACATACAAAACAAGCATGAGTGTGTGCTTCATACGCACTCGCTCACAGTTTAGCGCAACGTGTGGACACTGATGAGAGTCCCATGGCAGAACACCAGCCATGCCGCGATTTTCCGTCAAAACTTCCTCGCCTTCTTCTTACTTTGGTCCTTTTCATAGAAATTATACCGTGTTCTTCTATTCCTTACTTTCATCCTCGCTCGAGCTTTTCTCTTGAGTTTGTATTTTTTTTATTCTCGCACTTGCCTTTTTGTTCCATCCTTCTTTCATCTCGCCTATTTTCTCTTCATCCTTTTTTCCTTCTTCTAATAGTCTTATTCTTCCTTCTTAATTTTTTGAGGCTTTTTCTATTATTCTTTACATCTCTTCTAATTCTACTATTCTATTTGCATCTCTTTTCTTTTCTTTTTTTCCTCCTCCATCCCTTCTTCCAACTCATTTCTTTGCTCTCTTCCCTCTTTCTCCATCCTTTTCATTTTTCTTTCTATATTTTCCAGCTGAATATTTATACTTTTTTTGCTTATTTGATTTTTTTTCAATTTATACTTATTGCTTTCTTTTTATAAGTTCGCTTCTCTCTTCTCTCTCTCCTGCCTTAGACGTTTGACACATTTTTCTCTGTTTTCCTTCCTGCGCTCTGCCCTCTATCGTTTCCTTGTTGTAACTCTCTTCTATCCTTTTGCTCTGTAACGGTCTAGTCTGATTTGTCTTTTTTCCGCTTTTCACTGTGCAATAGCAACCCGTTACACATCTAAAAACTAAGGATAAACGTTGTAAAAACTATGGCGCTACCTCACGTACACGCGTAAATGTGTTAGGGTGATTGATTAAAATCAAGACCATATAAGGAGCGTGAGATCATGAGCGTGGGAAATTTGTTGTTTACTATGCAAAATCAATAATTTCAGGTTTTTGAAACAAACAAAAGCATTTTTTCAGTCAATTTCAATGCGCTAATCTCGAATTTCAAGTTTTTTATTACTGAGAACGATTGTTAATTTTATAACGAGAAAAAGAATAATTGCTAATTTATTATCTAATTATTATTCAAAAACTATTTTTTAAATTAGTGATTTTTATTTTCAATAGTGTTCTGTGTATCATAAATAATTTTTTGGTGTAAATATTCCAATAATTTTATTGTAAATTTTGTGTTAGTCATTTATTTAACTTTGAGAGGCGAATTTTCCTTAACAAGCGATTTATACTAAAAAATTCAGCATTTTCAATATAATTTTTTAAATCACCAACTTTTATTTTCGCGTGCGCCATTTCACGAAAAAACTTGTTTAAAATTTGTGCAAATATAACAAATAGCGTTGTAAGGGCTACCAAGCATAAAAAGGAGCCTCTTTCGCAAGTATGAATTCGCTCGTCTCTGCGGCAAGAGGGGACTTCAAATCCTACCTTGCTTAGCAGCGCGAGCACTGTTTGGAATAAAGACTCAGCATTCACCTGAGATCTAATTTTCATTCCTCAGTGTTTAGCCTAGTTATTTTTCTTTCCTAAATGATAATCTAAGAGCTTAACTCATTAGACCCTCTATCTTATAAGAAAAAAACAGCCTTAGACTATCTCCTCTCTCTCTACAATAGTAATTTCACCTAGAAATTCAACCGAGTACTTGTTGAAGCGCTGTCGGGCCTTTCTTCGATAGATGCAACAGTACTTAGCCGCATTTTAAATGGCCCGTCGAAGTAGCGAACTGCGTAGATGATTAGTATGTTAGCTGTTCGATGATTGAGACAAAAGCGATTTTTAAAATATAACAACGACTGCTATTTCGGTCTTATCAAGCGGTTAATATTACGTGTCAACTTCTTGCTTGCTCTCGGAAACGAGATTTGCAAATATATCTTAGAGTCCTAACTTTATTATAATGTAGCATAAGACTAAACGTTACAGCTCCTACCTCTTTTTCTTGTCTTTTTCATTTTAGTTTCAATATTCATCCTAGTTTTTCTTTCTCTTATAATATTATTTTTTTCATTTTTTTTCTTCTTCCCGCTTACCTCACATTTTTCTACTATATATTCCTAGTTTTCTTCCTCCTTTTCACATTGTATACAATTCTTCTTTTCTTTTTCTTCCTAGTATTTATTTGTTCTTATTTCATTCACTAGCCAATATCTTTCTCTTCCTTGCAGCCCTTTTATTCTCCTTTCACTTTGTATTTATCTTAATCTATTTTTTGTTATTTCTTTTGTAACGGAGAATCTCGGCTGAACTGGGTTCGGTTTTGGTGCATGTGGTCGAGCTTTGGCAGGGAATGTGACTCCGGCGGCACAGGTTCCCACCGCCTCAGTCGTTTTTCGAGTGTCGTCGGCGCGTGCGAAAATCACGCCGCAGCAGGAAGTGAATCAGCCCAAGCTACCCCAGCTTTCAGGTCCTGACGGACTTTCGCAGAAGATGGGATGGGGGTCAGTGGGTTCAGCGATGAGTAATAGGGAGTATCGAGCGAGACCAGCCGGAAATTTGGGTCTGTCGACGGCTTCGCTGAAATTGTCTAGTGAGACGAACCAGAGGCAATCACGTCACAGGGGAAGGCCAGGCAGGAGGCAGCGAGATAGGCGCGTGAGCTCTTCAGCTGAGCGTTTCTTGGATAGGTTAGAGCGCTGCATACAGATGTACAGGCTTCCGGATCGCGAGGTGCTTCCAGCGTTGTATGCTATTTTCTCCGATCACGCAGAGGTGTGGCTGTCCAACAAATTTGGAACGTGGCGTACGTTCTGAGAGTTTGCCTCCAGTTTCCGTCATCACTATTGTCGGACACTGTCGAGGGAGGAGTATTACGACGTGTTGGCTCATCGAACGCAGGGTGAGGATGAATCGATAGGGGATTACCTGACTGCGTTCAAGAGCATCGTAAAGCGAATGAGGCCTCCTCCGTCAGAGAGAAAACAGATCCGATTGGCAAAGGCGGAACTAAACCTGGAGTACGGGAGGTACATCCGGGAAAAGACGGTATGCACTCTACGCGATATAGAATACTACGAAGAAAAGCTGGAGAAACATCGTGAGTGTGAGAGGAGGTGACACCCTCCTTCTGCTAAGGATAACTTGCCGGTTGAGGACGCTGCTTATCAAGGAAAGGGTAAGAAGAACCACGTGGCAGTTAGTGCCGTGGTTGTCCAAGAAGATGTGTCTCCGGCAGGGAAGCCGAAGATCAAGAAGAAGAGGCGAGGGAAGAGGAATATTTCTGACACTACCACGTCCGGACGTTCGTCGGGTAGCGACTCGGGGGTGTATCAGTGCGCGGTAAGCAGTTTTATGCAACCGTACAGAGAGACCAGGGAAGATCTGGCGGGAATATGCAGGTCGCTCATCGTCAGAATAGCCCAAAGAACAGGCGAGATAGAGATGTTTTTCAGGGTCGATGCTATGGTTGCAACGGGGAGAGCCATAGGATCTCGGAGTGCTCTGGTTCTGACCGAGGACAGACTGGCCAGGCGCAGGGGAGCCCAATTTGTTTCTGGTGTCGTCAACCGGGACATTATGCTCTGGGATGTCCTCTGGATCGGTCGAGAGAGTCATGCCAGAACTGCCAGGCGCCGAACTGTAAGTTCCGCACCTGTGCGAACTGTGAGTCGATCCATAGGTTAGCTGAAAACCGGTCCACAGGGAGTGGAATTCCACCGCTCTCAGCGATAGCTCGCAGTGGGCTGCAAGATTCGGGCACGATGAGCTCGACCTAAGGGTGTGAGCCCAGGAAACGCGTAGGATGATTCGGAGTGCCATAGGCGCCACCCGTATGAGGCAGTGCCCGCGAGCGGTTTTTCGCAGTGGGTTGCTCCATCGAGGAAGGCGCCGGGCCGGTTCGAAGAAGTGACGTTTCTATTTTTGGACATTGTTTTTTGTGTTGTCAGTTCATTTGGTTCTGGTTCTAGCTTTAGTTCTAGGTTTTCTTTTTGGTTTTGGGATGTAGTTTATTTTGTTTGATCGCTACCAGAGAGTTCACCCGTGGCCAACGGAAAATCCAGCCATGGCGAGACGCTCGGACGGCGAGAACGAGCGACAGCCCATGGAAAGGATCAGCTGCTTCGGGGGGACTCTCGCAAATGTCCGTGCGCCGCGCCAAGCTGAGAGTGTGTGCAATTTTTTTGCAAAGATTTTTGTTTACAAGGTGCTGTACACGGGCTGAGCTGACGACTGGAGCGATCGAGAGAGAGAGAGCGGGAGAGAGAGAGAGCGGGAGAGAGAGAGAGAGAGGGGGGGGGGGATTCTTTCTTGCTCGCTTCGCTCGGGCGTAAACGCCACACGAGACAAGAAACTCTTTCCCGAATATGTTCCGTACCGTATTTTTTATACGACATGTGGAAAGTGCGATTTCCAACGCACTTTTTCTGTTGAGCGTGCGGGAAAGACGCACTTTGCACACGGAGTGTCGAAAAATAGATTTATAAAACGGAACATCTGACGAAACACAAGTTAATAAAGTAGTATAGGGATGTGTAGCCTGCATGTTGGCCACAAGAGGGCCAATATAGTTACAGATTTTCTGTTCGTAAAAAATCACGTGCTCCCATGGTAAGTAACTCAGGATCCCTTTAACTCTATTTACTTAATTATCATGACATCTACTTTTCTATAGTTTCTTTGTTTAATCAAAAATAATTATAAATTATTTTTAAATAGCTTTATTTTCTTTTACAAAAACCTCACTCTTAATTTAGGATTTGGAAAGAACTCAAGAAAGATGACCTTAATATAACTTATAAAATGAACTTCAAGGTCAGAGTTAAGTTCATTACAAAATGTTCTTTTCACGTTCCAGTAACTTTCGGCTGAAACATTTGTCGCTAAACTGTATTATTGTAAAATTGTTTGGGTATAAAGATTTTAAAAAATAACAACGAAATATGCATGACCTTGGAATTCATCTGGAGGGTCTCCGGGACTCCACATATGATAGACTATCTAAATGTAAAATTTTCCGCTGATTCCAAATTTAGGCTTAAAAGTAGAGGTTCTTATTTAAAAAAACAAAATTTGACCTTGAAATAACCTTAAAAAATAATTTTAAGGTCAAAATCTAGGTCACCTTCAGATTCTTCAATAACAAAACTATAAACTTTATCTAAAATTTTTTTCCTAATAATCCGTTCTGTTCGAGTTTTTAGCCGGTCCCGAGAATTTTGGGACACTTTGTATAATAAAGTAAAATAATAATTTATAATTATTTTTGATTTCTGTAAGTACCAACGTTATGAAGTACATTTAAATCGAAAAAAGTTTGCAACAAATTTTACAAACCATGTTTTCTTTCATCGTTACGTTGTTTCTTATGTTTTAGAAATTGACGTGTCAATTTTGAAGTGTAATTGTAGTCACACATCAGAAGCATAATAAACAAGTCAAACAAATATTATGGAAGAAATTTAGTGAATCAGCGCTGCAATGCAAAAATCTTTTACCGAACTTTTCTGAAAACATTTTTGTTTATAACTTTGGCAATCTGCCAATAGCAAAAAAGTAATCGTATCTGAATAAAATAAAATTGCCAAAGTTTCGCTAACTTATGACATCGAAATTGTTGATAAACAATCCCCTGCCTCGGAAATCGCTATTAATTTTTAAATCATGACTAGCGATTAATATAACATACCTTGCCATTGAAATATCAAATCTCTCTAAAAACTGAGCCAGTGATGTTTGATACATACAATTCACGTGAGCCATATCACATATTAAGAAGTATAAAACACTGCCTCGAGTCGCAACTGGTCGAAATTCTTCTCGAGTAGTGTTAATTTTTATTTCTGTTTCTTTAGCAACTGTCAACTTCTCGTTTACTTCAGCCGCAGTTTGCTTAGTATTATTTAGTACCGACATTAATTCCAAATCTTCAATTAAAGGACCCTAGAAGATGATTATGTAATGTTTAGTTTTCAAAAACTTTACCAGAACATATTAACGCGATCGTGATAATATTATTTTATTATATACTTGGACAGTTGTTAATTTATGGAGTAAATTAGCTTCGAGTTCTTTGATTTTTCTTTTGTTTGCCGTAACATCAGTAATAAGTCGAGTTCTTTCGGTTTCGAGCTCTTTTTTTTCAGTTAAAATAACTCTACCTAAAAGTTGATCTTCTAATCCTTTCATTGTTACTGTAAAATCTATAATTGAAGTTCGAGCGAAAACCTCTGGAGGATACGAAGGGTTGGGCAGTTTAGTCGTTATATATAGTCTAAAGTCCTTATGGATATCGACTTCCTTATCACCGAGCTTGACCTAAGTATTGAATTGTATAAAATTACCAAGTCAATAATACCAAACTATTAGCTACAGTATATTTTTACTTATTAGCAAAGGTATGAGATGCCTTTTGTTTCTTAATAAATTCAATATTTTTAAAGACATACACACACATAAAATTAAAATTGAAAATATTACAATAAAATTAGGAAGAAGTAAGTGAATAAAATAAACCTTCGGTCTCTAAATTTAGTAAACAACGTTTTGTCAGCAATTTAGTTGATCTCATCGGGTTGTTCACTTGTTGAACAAATATATATGTAAGTTAGAGAATATGACTCATTGCCATAAGAAAAAGGAAAAAAATACTTTGATCATTTTTACAATGACTGTACGAAGTTATGGTTTTATAAAAGAAAGCTGTCTCGAGAAATCAATGTAACAATAAAACGACTAAGACATTATAACTTAATCGTTTTTTTAGCTAGAATGTCTTTAATTGATAACCCTAGTTGTTTTTGCTCATATAGCTCTCAAGACATTGAACATGTATTATGGCACTGTCCATTACACTCAGTTTAAAGGGAAATTCTAAAAAATCAGCTTTCTAAGATAAATCCAAGGCCCTAATACGACACAATTACTTTACTCAAAGACTCCAACATTGTAGCTTGTAAGTTAACTTAACTTGTAATCGTTAACTTCTTGAAAAACTGTAATCTACGTATATAGTAAATAACAAAAGAATATCTTGTTAAAAAAAAAAGAAAATAAACAAAACTCTCATTAAACATTATTGTTAGTATTCTATAAATATAATTCAATGTATAGCGAATAAATCTGTATCAAGATTTGAAAGCTTAATAGGCCAATCAATGAAGATTTTTTCGTGACATTAATACTATCAGCAAACCGACTATGCAAAGTTGTTTAATACTATGCGTAGATGAAAACGTATATGTTTCCAACTCGCAACTTTCATTTAATAACTTTTTACAGCCGTTTGAAATTTGCAAAAACATGTTTTTCGCGTATAAAACCAAAACTATTGAAGTTAGGTATGTACCTCAATGGAATAAGTTATAGATAATAGAATTATCTATAAAATGAGCTATCGTTCATCTCAATCGAGTAATTAATAATCAATATAATTACAAAAAACATCAAAATTGATCAAAAAAGGTAACATTTCAAAAATTAGTATCTCCACATAAAGTGATGTTGAAAGAATTAGCTTATGATATTTTGTAGATTGCATTATCTTCTTCATGTATGCTAAATCTGAGCTATATATAATTATTACTTTCGGCACTACAGTAATGACAATTAAACCTTTTTTTTTAGTATATCTTGCATAATGCCCTGTGGCTCAGCCGTTCGAGTTATACATTATTTGAAAAAAGTTTTTTAAATCTCAATAATCAAACTACAACTTTGTCATTTGAACTTTTGCTCTAAAATCAGTTTAAAAGGGTGAAATTTGTCGTTGAATATCGGGCAAAATGTGCCCGAGAGTTAAAGAAAGCGAGCGGTGGGAGATACAGATCCCGCGGAGGGGAAGTATATGTAGTAATAGAAAAACCAGGCGCTCGGCGTTTGACTTTAATATTACTTATTTTGATATTATTTACGCTATTTTACTGAAATTTTTTTTATTTTTCAAGTTAATTAAGTACGCATTCGATATTTGTTAAATAAATAATACGAAACATATAAATATATGTATATATTTTATTATAATGTAGGCAAATAGTAATTTATATTTATTTATAATACATTTATCCCCATAAAAAATGTAGTTATTTCATTAACATTTAAACAAAATACATGTTCATTTTTGGTAATTATATATTTGTATTTATCACATTATAAGTGTCCCTAAAACGTAACGGTTATTTTTGAATGTACAGTATATACAGTATAGTATATACATATAGAATATGCTAGTTTTGGAGCGGCCCAGGCCAGCTCATCAGTTCCTTTGGAACATTTAGTCTGGATGGTTGTGTTCTAGCTATTCCGAAATCTGTAATTATTAATTGTTATTGGTCATAGCACCTTCTTTAAATCAACCACATAACATTTAGGCAAGTTTCTGAAATTTTATTTATATTTAATATATAGACATTTGTTTTATATAGAATCGTAGAATAAAAGTGGAAGTGTAAATGTTTCTTCAAATTTAAATTTTAGAAATATAATATATACTTCGTACAGTATACAGTACAGTACAGTATATACTTATATATATGCACATGTATTTGTATATATATATATATAAATATATGATTACTTATTTCTAATATTTCAGTACATTTCGCGATAGTAGACAGTTCAACGTAAATTTTAGAAAGAAGTAAGCAGCTTAGGACACTGGATCTGTAATGAAGGATGTCCTTTCAAAGACAAATGAAAGTTTGACAATTCGAGAAGGATCCTGCTACCTGCTATTCATAAAATTTATAATAAATGGGATTAGAGAAATAGACATAAATTAGTATATCCCTTGAAAGGCAAGTGAAAGTTTGACCGTTCGAGAAGAATCCTGCTACCTGATATTCATTAAATTTTTGCGTGCGGTGGTTGGGGTATCCTAGCGTGGAGTCGAAAAATTGATTAAGCTGCTAAAAATCGAATCACGCCGTCAACATTGACTTATCTCTGTTTCTAATTAACCAAATTTGAAGTTTTTTTTTTAAATTGATATAGCAAATCTTCACAAACTCAAATATGACATTACATTAATTGTATTCTTATTAGTTAACGAGTTGTAGTGAAAGCATGCTTTTTTATATAATTTAATAACTTAATAATTTAATTATTTGTTAAATATAGTATATTTTTATAGAATATTTATCAAAAATGTACGAAGACATTAACAATTAACATTGTTAGTCGCAGAAAACGTTTATCAAAAAAAAATTTGTATTTTTGTTTTGCCGCTACAGTCGCGCTAAATTGACTCTAACGATTTTAAACTATGCTACTTTGTTGCAAATTTAACGCTCTACAACTTTATTCCAGTAAATTATTTTCGTATCTCTAATAGATTTCGAGTAAACAGCGCGCAAGTAAAAAAAAGTGCCGTTTTTCGCTTTTTTTAGCTAAAAAAATGTATATTGCTAAACGCAAAAAGAAATTCGAGGTGACGGATAGGGGGTTTTAATATGCGCCTTATTTAAAACTGATTCTACTGGACTGTTCCTTTCCTATTTATAAAATTTACTTGAAGTTATTGTAATTACAATATATTAATATATTAATATATATAAATCATTTTTATATTCATATTAATATGTATGTTACAATAAGTTCAGTACAATTAAATCAATAAATTCAGCGGTGTACTATGTACAGCTTGTGAAATTGTTCTAATATGTTATTCATAACTTACAGATAATTAAGTTGTCTTTCATCTTGCAACTTTTCATTATGGCTGCAACTGACGACTTCCACAACATAGCAGGACATTCATCAGAGGAAGACAATGACGTTGAAATCCCTGCTCTAGAATACATCGGTGAACAGCCAGGCGAAAACGATGTAAACTTTTGCATACTATGTGATAAGGTACTAGATCCTAATAAGTCTTGTAAAGTTAAACAACGGGGTATTGAGAAATTAGCAAGCGTTAGCCGTCGAAGAAAGGACAATAAACATGTAGATTTGGGAAAAGTGCAAGAAATTACTGTACATAGAGTTTGTCAAACAATGTATGTTAGGGAATCGAATATAAAAGCGGCACTGAAAAATGCACTCAAAATTGTTGAAGTAGGTAGAAAACATAAAGAGGAAGGGCTTCAATTTGATTTTTCTACGTATTGTTTATTCTGTTCGCAAAAATTTTATAATGCGGACAAATATTCTCGTGTATTGCAGCAGAGTACTATAGATAGCATTATAGCGCAGCTTGAAACGTATCAAGAAAATTAAGTTAATTTAATGATATCGTCGCGTGTATGTAATTTAAAAGACAAGAACGATGAATATTACACTCAGGCAAATGTTTTTTATCATCGACGTTGCTTAAGCAAGTTTTATTTATATAGTCCAACAAACGTGATAGGTAAACCTATAAGTGATGAAATGTCTCATTTAATATCATATATTATTAATTTTTTATTAGAAAATAACGAAGAGTGCCAATTTTCGTTAAAAAAAATTTTAAATCAATATATTAGTATTCACGGGTCTGCAGATTTACCACCGCTTAATCGTGTTGAAGATGCTCTAAAAAAACACTTTGAAGATGAGATAGTTACTTATACAGTTACCAATGATCAAATTATTTGTTTGAAAAGGTTAGGAGGATTATATAGTGAAAAAAATTTTTATGATAATCGTAAAAGTGACCTGCGAGAAGAAAAACTACGTATAATTACAGAAGCCGCAGAATTGCAAGATATTCGTTCAATGAAATGCGACATTGATAGTTATAAATCGCCAACTACATTTTTAGATAATGTTAACGAAGAAATTCCAGAAGCACTGAAAGTATTTCTCGACGTATTATTAAAAACACATAAACGTACTCCCAAAAAAGGCCCTGATTTCAAATTAGATAATAAAATTGGTACTTTAGGCCATATTTTAATGTCTGTCGTTAGACCACGGTCGTTTTCTTCTTCAATATTACTAGCACTTTCATGTATGATTCACACTAAATATGCTGCTAAAGGTATCATAGATTGTCTTCATAATTTAGGTCTTTGTGCTTCATATTTTGAGACAACTCGATTTGAAACATCGATTGTGAACTGTCCAGAAACTATAGATTCCATCTCCGATTCGTATTTGCAATTCGTATATGACAATGCAGATCACAATACTTGCACTATTGATGGAAAAAATACTTTCCATTCTATGGACGGTATAATGTGTGTGACGCCATCAGCGTCAGTACGCTCGAATACTTGTATTCCACGTTTAAAAGGAGCCTTTTCGTTTGATTCAACTAATACATTCGGGTTTACACCATTAAGTACTTTTAATAATAAGAAGCCTTTTAATTTAAGTTCTATAACTGTAGATGAGTTAGCATTAGATAGTATCGATACAATTGGTAGATTAAAACCTATCGATTTGTTGTGGTTCTATGAAAAATTTAGTGCACCACAACAAACACCAAACTGGAATGGATTCATGAACAAATTTTATTTATTGAATGATGAATTTGACACATCAAAAATTATCCCTTTGCCATTTATTAATGCTCCTCCAAGCGACCATAAAACTATATTAACCTCATTAATCGATGCTAGGCAAAGAGCCAATATTAACAAACAAAAACATTGTTTTGTTACGTTCGACTTGCCATTGTTTATGAAAGCAATGGAAATCGTTTCCTCTATTGATCCCGATAACGATCCCCATAACCTGATATCAGTATTTCCTCGTTTAGGCGGCTTCCATCTATTAATGTCTTATATTTCATCTGTCGGATATATAATGGGTGGAAGTGGCCTTAAAGAAGCTTTTAGTTCAATTTATTCTGAATTATCTGCTGATAAAGCTCTTATTGGCCAAGCTTTTTCTCGAGCTGTGAGAGGCCATCTGTTAGTCCAAGCAGCACTTGCTTCTATCATTTTTAAACAAATAGATCTTGATGATAATGAAAAAAATTTTTTAAATCAATCTCTATTAGACGTAGGAGGGGATAATTTTAACAATAAACTTGAATCTGATATTATGCAAAATATAAAGCAAAAATTTGTAGAACGCGTCAATTATCTAAAAAATAATGGACCAACGTGTCAACTGTGGGTGCAATATTTTGAAATAATTTATTTAATTCAACGATTTATAGATGCCGAACGTTCTGGCAATTTTCCGTTGCATTTGGAAATTATTAAATTAATGATTCCAATTCTTTATGCTTCGGGGCATCATTTGTATTCCAAAGCTAGCTTATTGTATATACAGCATATGCTAAAATTAAAAGATGTTATGGACATTGTTGAGTATGATAAGTTTTGTAATCAGGGCTACTGCACGATTAGGCGGTATAACAGATTTTGGTCTGGCATATGGTCATATATGACCATAGAGCAGATGTTAATGAGGCCAATCAAATGTACTGGAGGTTTGACAGAATTGGTTGTAGGAAAATGGGTTATGTCTAGAGTAGCTGTATTAGAAGTTAGTAGTGCGATGGAAAATTTCTGTAACGTTACATTTGCCACGTCTGAGCAACACGTAGATAATAGGGTGTCTCGTATTAATCGAGATGCTGATGATTTAAATAAACTATTACACTTTTTCGAATTCTATAATCCATTCCCAGACACAAACAAAATTATTAATATATTTTCTGGCTATGTTGGTGATTTGTCTTCTGTAAATTGTTTTAAAGCTTTCGAAATCGGGAATGCATTAATGAAAAATACAGCTCATAAAACATATTCATCCTTAAAATTTAAGCGGAGCAGTAAAGTTGTTAATTTACAAACCACTAATTCAATAATAAAAAATATCAGCAACCAAGTAGTTCATATATCACCGGAATTGATATTTCAAAAACTAGCGTTAAATATAAAAACTCTAGAAGATATTAGGGAATATAGCAGCAGATTTGAACTATCTTCAGTGCCATTGTCATTATTCGATGAAAATGGTATGCGGAAAACAAAAAAATCAGCATTTTATTCAAATTTTGAAAAAGTCGATATTATCGAGATCAAGGGCAAAACTACTCATGTAGTAGACGGGGGATTTTTTCTTCGTAAAGTCGTTTGGAATTGTAATGAGACAATAGAGTGCATATTAAATAAGTATATTTCGTATGCAAAAGTTCATTATGAACCCAATAGTTATATAGTCTTCGACGGTTATCCAGAAGATGATGCAAATGTAACGAAATCGGTTGAGCGTTCTCAGCGAAAATTAAAAAATGTAGGTAGGGAAATAGCATTTAAAAATCATACGAAAATAACGGTTAATCAGCAACAATTTTTGAGTAATGAAAAAAACAAAATCAAATTAATTGAAATATTATGCCATTTATTAAATGAAATAGGTTTCAGAACAAAAATTGCTTCTGATGATGCCGATGTTTTGATTGTTCAAACAGCGATTGACAATGCGCGCGTCGATAGTGATAACATTACAATTATTGTAGGCACAGATATAGATTTATTAGTAATATTAACGCAAATAGGACAAAATGTGAGTAATATCTTTTTCAGAAAAGGCAGTAAAGGTATTCATAATTATGAATACTAGAGTAATACTAGCTTTTTATATAAAGATTTGTTAAGCATTGTAGGCTTTTTGCATGCATTTTGTGGTTGCGATACCACATCTGCTTTCTACAAACAAGGTAAAAGTAAATTGATGGAAATATTTAATCATCAAAAATTAATAGAATTCGCTTCAGTTTTTTATAAAAAAGATGCTACTCACGACGAAGTTGCGAGCAGTGCATTCATTTTAATTATGGGTATTTATAGCAGTAAAGCAGAAAAGATTTTAATAGAAAAATCTAATGCTTTCTCGTTAAATGACCTTCGCTATTTTCATTTTAGCACGGCCAAAGTCAAATCCAAATTTTAATTAGAATCTTTGCCATCAACCGAAGGAACAGCAAAAGAGCACGCGTTTATAGTTTATTATCAAGTTCAAAGATGGCTAGGAAATTCAAATGTAAAAGCAACAGATTGGGGATGGGAAATAGATAACAATAGTCTTTTACCTATAGGTACTAAAGAGCCACTTGTGCCGAAAAAATTGCTTGAACAAATATCTTGTTCGTGTAGCAAGAAAGGCTGCGTAGATTGTTATTCTTGTACTTGCCGGAAAAATGGGTTAAAATGTACAAATCTTTGTGCACATTGTCACGAAGAATCTTGTTTCAATTTTGAAAAAAACATCATTATCAGGTGCGATAGTGATTACGAAAATGGTGAAATAATAGAATGCGAAACTATAATTGATAGTGTGTGTGATAATCTAGATAATGTAATAGACATGGATCAAGTACACTGCGCTAAAAGATATAGATTTAATGAATAACTTTAATATTTAAATTAAGTATCTATTGTATTACCATAATAATGTCATAATTTTTAAGTATAATGAAACAAATTAAAATTTATTGTAAATAACATTATAAATATAATTATTATAAATAATATCTCAAACTGTTAATTAAATTTCAGTAAAATAGTAATTATATATATATCAAAATAAGTAATATTAAAGTCAAACGCCGAGCGCCTGGCTTTTCTATTACTATATATATACTTCCCCTCCGCGGGATCTGTATCTCCCACCGCTCGCTTTCTTTAACGCTCGGGCGCATTTTGCCCGATATTCAACGACAAATTTCACCCTTTTAAACTGATTTTAGAGCAAAAGTTCAAATGACAAAGTTGTAGTTTGATTATTGAGATTTAAAAAACTTTTTTCAAATAATGTATAACTCGAACGGCTGAGCCACAGGGCATTATGCAAGATGTACTAAAAAAAAAGGTTTAATTGTCATTACTGTAGTGCCGAAAGTAATAATTATATATAGCTCAGATTTAGCATACATGAAGAAGACAATGCAATCTACAAAATATCATAAGCTAATTCTTTCAACATCACTTTATGTGGAGATACTAATTTTTGAAATGTTACCTTTTTTGATCAATTTTGATGTTTTTTGTAATTATATTGATTATTAATTACTCGATTGAGATGAACGATAGCTCATTTTATAGATAATTCTATTATCTATAACTTATTCCATTGAGGTACATACCTAACTTCAATAGTTTTGGTTTTATACGCGAAAAACATGTTTTTGCAAATTTCAAACGGCTGTAAAAAGTTATTAAATGAAAGTTGCGAGTTGGAAACATATACGTTTTCATCTACGCATAGTATTAAACAACTTTGCATAGTCGGTTTGCTGTTAGTATTAATGTCACAAAATACCTCATTTTTGGCTTCATTGATTGGCCTATAATAAAAAAAAACTCTGCCACGCCAACTATAAATATGTATATTGTGTGTGCGTACGTCTCTGTGCGTGTGCGCGCGCGCGCGTGTGTGTGTGTGAGTGTATATGTGAGTGTATCTAATTAATTGAATATTTGAACTTATGACTTAAAATTATATTTATTAAATTCACAATAAGGTCAAATTTTGTGAGTTCTGCATGATTTACAAAAAATCAAACCATACCCATAAGCCAAATAAATTAAATGTAAAAAGTTAAATTATAGCTTTGCAGTAGTAATAGTATTAATGCATAGTGATTATACCTTTAATGACAGACCGATTTTAATGAAATTCTTTTCCAATAAATTGTCCAATACTGGATCTAACTCCTCACCAACATCTTGTATCAATATTGGTCGTCCCATGGAAACGCAATCTTCTAAATGATTTCTAAAGTACTTGTGTGACAATAAAGTGAGCTAGAATTAATTGTTATGTGCCCTTAGCAAGAGTAGGTTTTTCATTTGACATAATTCTTTTTGGAATACTCCAAGCATAAAAGTAAACATATTTTGTACGCGATATAACTAATATTGATTCATTGAATCGAACATATAATTACTTGTAAATTGAACTCTTTTTCTTTATTAATGATCCATCCCTTTCCTTGCAGCTGAGGATCGATGAGCAGAGGATACCGCGATCCCTTTGTTACGATTATTCCATTTTGAATAGAAAGTTCATCACTTGGTAGTCCCTGTAAATTCCACTCTCCAATCTGGAAATATTTATCAATTAAAGCTTACATCAAACATTGTGAATAAAATACATAAGGCGATAATACAAAAAATCCAAGTATTTTATGTCGAAAATTTCTTATGTGAACTGAGATATAATAAAACGAAATAATCCATGTTGGCAAATAACTAACCGTCGCTGTATCCGTTAGAAATTCTATTATATCAACATCTAAAGACACAGGTATTTTTCTCCGTTGAAGATAATTAAACCAAATTTTTCTCAAGTATAAACGAAATTCTTGATTAAAAGGTCCACAGTACGTTAAAAATCCAGTCAGTATTAGCACATCTCCGACTAATCTTTCTGTTTCAGATTGAAATGTTGTAAGTTGGTTAGTCCAACGCGATCGTTCTCCGGACAATCCATCAATCATAGCTATAGCAGTATCCATTTTCGTTTGACATAGATCTGCTAGATCAACAATTTTCTAGAAATACAACCATAAAATTCTTTTAATGAAAATAATAATAATTAGAAATAATAATAATTAGTAGGAAGTAGAGTTGAGAGTTAATGATAAAACAATGGTACAATAGTCATTCTTACTGAATAATTTGAAAGCCATAAAATCCAACCCGTTAAAATTTAATTTTAATATATAAATTGATAGTGTAAAATTCAAACGAAATATATATAGCAAAAAAAAGTTTTATTACATTATTACGAGGCGTGTATCAAAAATATCCGACCTAACGTATAAACGACGATGCTAACCCAAAATCTGTATGATTTTCAGAAAGTACCAACTTTAAAAAACTTATAGTTGGAATTCCAACGTTGCCGCTCGAAAAAATTATATCAGAGTCTCTACGAGTTATTTCAATATGTTAAATAGAATAATTTCTAGGACCCTGAGAAAAATTTTTCCAGCGGCAACTTTGTTCACGACACTATGCTCATTAGTATTTTATTAATTTATCCCTAGTATTTATTTAAAAATCATTAAATATAAACATTCTTTATGAATTTTGTAAACATGGAATAACTTAGTTATCGTTTTGTGATTCAATACTTTCATTTAAAACGTCTTACGCCAAAAAATAATAAATTAGAGTTAGACTTTTTTTAGAATGTGCATGAGATAATTTTAATTCATTATCTTTGAAAAAAAAAATCGTCAATGGCGAGTATTATGTGGCCTAATTGCAGCATCTTAGTGATGGAATTAAGAATAAACTACCATATTGAACAAAAAAGAATATTGTTTGATCACCACAATGCATCCGTTCTCACATAGATCATTGCGATAGCTAAAATCAATAAGTTATAGTTGCTTCTACACGTATACTATTTACTAGATTTAGCCCGCTTAGAATTTGATCTATTTCTAAAGATGTAGAAATGGTTCGCTAATTAATTGTCGACAATAAGGAGGTGGAATTTGTAATTAATGGCTATTTTGAGAAGTTCAACGCTTTTTAATATAAACAGAGTATCAGAAATATTGAACGTAGCCTGAATAAGTATATCAAATTAAAAGGAGACTATGTTAAAAAGTGAAAATCGATTTTCCAAATATTATTGCATTTTCTTTGTTGGGTCGGATATATTTGGGATACCCTTTGTATTTTGATACAAGGAATCTTTACTTGTCGTTCCTTCATAACTTCATCAAATTCGTTTTGAACTTGACGTAAATCTTCGTCTTTGGCTTTTAACAGCTTCTCTGCAGTTTGTAATTTTCTATTTGCTTTATCATGTTTTCCTTGTTGTATAGCTAAGTTCGCCTACAATAATAAATATATAGAAAATTAAGTACAAGACATGAATTGCAATTTTCCCTAACGTCAAATGCTATTTTCAATAATAATTTAAAAAATACTTATATTAAAAAAGTAACATGAATTATCAAATTCTGATTTAACATTGTTAGATTTATGAATGATATTCCATATACAGTTTTATGCACAAGTTAGTTTCCACCGTACACTAAAATTACCCAAAATTCAAAGTTTTCTAGCTTGATCTATAATGGACGTAGTAAACTCATTTTAAAGAATAAAGTAATACATTTCATATTTAGTTAGTTTTTTTAATTTAAAATCGTGATTTTTACATTAAAAAAACTAAATCTTTTTTTTTCGTAAAAAACACTTTCTAATTTTTGAATGAGTCAGTTAATTTTTAAAAAATTAGGCGAATAGATACGCATTTAGCTCCTCTTTAAAATAAGTGTCACTGGATCTTTTTTTATCGAGCCAATAAAAAGTTACGTTCATTTTTGTGAAAAAAAGGATTATTTTCAAGTTTAATTACATTCGATTCGAATATATGCACTGTGAAAAAAAACTGTAAAGAGAAAAAATGTTAGCTTTTATATGTAGAATAAGTATTTACTAAAAAAAATTTTTGTTTTGAAAAAAAAATATATTTTAATATATTCTTTATTTTTTTTTTAGTAAACTCTTATTCTACATGCATAAACAAACATTTTTTCTCTTTGCAGTTTTTTTCCACACTGCATATGTTCGAATGTAATCAAACTTGAAGTCATTTTTTTAACAATAATGAACGTAACTTTTTATTAACTCGATATAAAAAGATCACTGTCACTTATTTTATAGAGGAAACAAATGCGCATTTATTCCATCTAATTTTTTAGAAATTGACTTACTCGTTCAAAAGTTAGAAGGTGTCTATTACGAGGGATAAAAAATGAAACAAAATTATTCCGTTTATTTAATGTAAAAAAGAGATTATTAATTAAAAATAAACAACAGAATATGAAAGGTATTACTTTATTCTTTAAAATGAGCCCCCGCGAGTTTTTCTACGTCCATGATAAATGGAGTTAGAAAACTTTGAATTTTAAATAATTTTAGTATAGGGTGGGAACTAACTTATGCACGCAACTGTGTGGTAATGAGAAAATCATTTCTTTGTGTTCGGTATCAAAATTGTTGCAAAATTAATAAAGAATAACACAATATTGTTAGTCGTTCTTGAGTGGATATGTTTTTTTCAACCAGGAGGTTATAAAATAAAATAATATAAATCTATTTTGTAAAATTAAAGAGATATTAAGGATAATTTAAGACTATTGGATTTATTATTGCAACAATCGAATTAATATTACTAGTCGGCAGATTTATAAAACTGATCGAATTTCTAAGCACGCGTGTGTTAATTACATTACAAGTCGGTATGCTACGTTTTCAAAAACAAGCATTTGACTATTCATCACGAAACGAACCAAACAAAATTAATTCTAGTTTAATGAAAATTTTTTTTCTATTGAATAAAATAATGTTACTTGAAAAATATACATATATTGAAGCAAAATTAACAGATTATAATTTCGTTAAGATAAGGGTATTTTTAATTGCATTGAATTATATAAGAGATAACAATAAAAGTAAATGGTTTGTATAGGCCACGGTTTGATACATTTTGAATCAACACTTACTTTTAATGGTAAAACGTCTTTATTTATATCATAGAAAGTAACCATCGACATTGTCCATTGTATTAAACCTGCCACATTACCACAGGCCGTTTTCGCAGCTTCAAAATTGTACATGGGATAATTTAAGTAAGGCATCATCAAATCTACAGTTTCCGCGTTGATGTTATCTTTCGGAAAATTTTGTAAGTTAAATAGAAATCTGGTGTCAGCCATGACCTGAAAAAATTGAAAAATAGAAAAAATATAAAGTTGTCGGAATGCAATGATCAATACAGTAATAACAAATTCGGTCACTTTTAAAGCTTCGTTCCAAGATGCTTGAAGGAATTTCTTATCATAATCAGGTTTAACAGGCTCTAGTCGTTTTCCAAACAAAATAACAACGCAATCCATTATGAGAGTGATCAAATAAGGAGGTTTAGCAAGTTTTCGAACTGTAGCAATATCAGCAGCTTTTATTGTCTGCACGTGAATTTTAGAAAATATGAGTGAAATAAAAAAAATATTTTATTTGGCTTTATCTAAATATTCATGCACAGGTGTGTAAAAAAATTATACATAGATTGGATTTTATATTTTTTAAAAGGGATAACAGACACCCAAGTGATAATGTTTTTTTAAGACAAGTTAATACATTTTTTAATTATTTTAAAATAATAATAATATCATCAAACATTTAATTCAAAGAACTCAACATTTTTATTTGAAGGAAGAAACAATCAATGGCATCACCTGCAAAGCTGCTTCGGCTTCTAAAAGAGCTGGTTCGGCGGCTTTCAATTTTTTTTCTGCTATGGATTTATCTTTGGAAATAATTTTTAGCAAAGCTTCAGCTTCATCTTTAGTTTCTTGAACTTTTGCTTTCACGGTTTCAGCTTCTTCTTTTTTCTGGTTAACCGTAACTAATATCTAAAATAAATTATGTTTTACATTAAATATTAACGAAATATAAAAATTAATCAAAGAGCAATATTAATCAATCTGGTAATAAAGTTTTAGTTTTGGTATAAAAATATTGAGTCTCATTAATTAGTTTTAATTTTTTCACAACTTACAGCCTCTACTTGAATATTTTTAACCGCAATATCTTCTTGATTTTTCAATAAAACTTTTCGTAAGTCATCAACTTGTACTGCAGCATCGACTAACTTACTTAAGCCATTACTCATTCGATAAGCTAATTCGTTGATGCCATTTAAATTTTGCAGGTAAATTTCCTTATACGAGTCAATGAAAGTTAAGAATGACCTAGGTGTGACAAAACATTGTCGTCGAAATACATGGAAATAGTCAACACAAGCATCGTTGACATTATCTTGTACATCAGCCATGACCTCGATCAATTGCTTTTTAATATCATTAGAGCATTTAATTTCATATTCGTTCAGAAAATGTACTCCTACAGCGCATAATGCATCTGGAGGCCATTTGAAGAACCAGTTAATTGTGCAGCCAGCTATCAAGCCGGGAAATTTTAAGGACCGAGACCGAAATTTTTCACCTATCTGTTTAAAAGAAAATACAAATGATATTCCTTAGATTCTTAGCTTCATAATATATTGGATTAATAATGGATAATGAATCGACTCACTGGGGAAAAACATAAAGCTAGATGCAGATTATTTCTTGCTCTGGTAATGAAGAAATTATAAAGATTATCTTGTGTCGGAGGTCTTTTTGGATCTTCTTTTTTCATTAAAGGTACAATATTTGACAGAATATCGTCAAGTTCATCTTTTGCGAATAAATTTGCCACTTCACCGACGCTCAATATATTATTAATAAATTCAAGGAAACCCTCTTCTTTGATTTCGTTATCAGTAAAAATAAATGTCATTCCTTTCGATCCTGCTCCTGCTTCTCGGTATATTCTTCGCAAGTCTTCCATTAAATTTTGTACGTTGTAACTCCTGCAAAGTCAGTTTAATTACCTAATGATTACCTCATAGTTCTGTTAAAATATTTTCGTTTCTAGGTGCATGGTTATTTTTCTTTTTCTCGCGGTCATTTTACGAATGATAATTTGAAAAATGGCAAAATGTAAGTTAGACATACCTGGTAAGGACTATTTGGAAAAAGTTGAAACCAGCCATGAAGGCGGCAAGTCGAGTTAGAGATTGTTTTCCCGATCCCCCGATTCCAACCAACATAGCATTACCTCTTGGCATTAAAAATATTCTTGATATTCGAAATAGATGCACGAGAGCGTCATGAAACAATACTAAATCAAGATGTATCCCTCGGATGTATTCATTAAATTGATCCATAAAAGACTTTACTCTGGCAATGACGATCTCATAACTATCAATAGATGGAATCAATTGAAATCGATTAAAACAGTAACGGTGTGATATTCATTAACGTACTATATAGTTGTTTCAATACGCTCTTTTTGAATAAATTATTAGATATTACCTTGGTAATTCTTCGTAAGTCTTTGGAGCAACTATTTCAAAATCTTCCGGTTCATCGCCTGTGGCCTCCGGTGGATCTCGCAGAAAACTTACAAAGTAAGTTTCAGATGAATCATAATACTGATAATCAGTTCCAAGTTGTTCTTCGGCAGTTTTAGATAACATACCTTGGAACCATTCTTTATCAACAAAATCAGTGAACCTTAATGCCAATATGAAATAATAATCAATGTCATGTAATTATTATTAAGATTTTATGAATAGACATTGACCTGTCGGAAATTACTCTGATGCATTCATGTTTCCATAATTTTAAAAGCGTGTTAATGGATTCGCATTCGTTCTTTTCAATTTTCAATATTCCTTCCCATATTCGGGATACGTCACGTAAGTTAAATATATAATGAAATTTCGCTGGAGTTGGTAAAAGTTTGTTCTTTGTTTGTTGCCATATTGATCTTGTAAGAGGGATTAATTTTGGTAGAAAATCAACTATGGCGTTGGAAAATCTTTCTAGGCAAAAGTATCCTATGCCAATGGACCCTAAATATTTAAAAAAAGATTATAATAGATATTATAGTTGTAAAATAATTAAAATTAATCTATTGCAATGGAGTGAACAAAGAAATATTTACTGAAAATCGTATCCATAGACTTATTTGATGGTAAAGTACAATTAAATATATTAAACTGTCTTTTCAAGCGCGGTGGAATGTCATTCCTACCACCACCAGGATGAATCATTGCTGCTAGTAATATTATATCTTGTATAATTAGAAAATCTCCCGGTTTGTCCAATGAATAAAAGCCTTTATACTCCATCATTTGGCGTACAATCTCATTGGTAACTTGATCACCCCACTCATTAATTACAGGCATATTTATATCATCTATAAAAACGCTCATTTTTCGGCCATTTGGAGGGCCGTAGGTCAATCCGACTCGCTTTTCTACGTAACTTTCAAATACTCGCTTCAAATAATCAATAAGAAAATTACTCAATAATATTTTAACATATTTTCATAAAATAAAATCTGTGTTTACTTGAACCATGTTAGGTGTTGATGCAGATGAGAAATTGAATGATTTATTCAAATGGTACTCAGGATCGTGCTGGGACATGGAGCTTTTGATCATGACTGTTTTTCCTGTACCTTGTTCTCCTGTAATTCAAAATATAAATAAATAGATACTAAATAAATATGCGTTATCTGTAACAAATTTTAGGAAGTTGATCTAGTTATGGAAATTCATACCAATCAAAAGAATCGCTTTTTCCTGTTTCGTGATTAAGTCAATCAAGTATAAAGTTCTTGTATTATCAATATTAGGAACTAAAATTGTGTAGTATTCTAGTACTTTGTCAGGTGGATATTCAAAATCGGTAACTCGTTCACTCCAATGTTGCCATTCTCCTATCTCTGATACAAGAAATTCAAATATAGTCTCATCATCCTACAAAATAATTATTTTATTATTAAATAAATACGTTTATTATTTTAATTCAAAAACGAACTAAGTGATTTCGTAATAAGTTATAATTAACGAACTTGACAATTTGGCCAATTTAAATTTGACGGATGATGCAGTACATAGTTTTGAAGCGCTGTGCGTCCATCAAGTTCTAGAACTGCACCAAGACTCCACATTAGTGAGAATAAAAAGATTTTCTCAACATGACTATTAGAAATAATGCCTGCTATAGAAAAATAAAAAATTGATAATAACACTAATTTGACTGACAAAAAATCAACAATAAATATGTAGAATGAATACAATTTGTTTCATTACTGTGTAACAGACCCTCGAGTAAATCTATACATTGTCTAATATACATTGATTCTAGTAGAGTCATTTTGGTTACAAGTTTTGTTTGTAAGAAGTTATGTGCATCGTCATATATCTGGTTGAATAATTCTCGTAGAATAGATATGTATTTATTTGGTCTTGACTTAAACCAACCCTGTGCAAAGTCGATAATAAATTTGAAAGTTTATGAGTAATAACATGCTATTGAAACAATATATATTCACATAGCCTATATAAATGATGTAATATGAATTTCGATGCATTTTTTTTTCATTTCGCGTATTACCTCTAAAATTGGTTTCCATTTCAAAACCGAAGCACTGAAAAAGACCATGCCCATTCGTGAAACGGTAGCTGGTGACGCATTATCCACGTTATCTGGCTCAAAAACAAGTTTACTATTAGGAGCCATTATTATACGATCACCATTAGCTAAAGTCAGTGTTTTATTGTCGTCCAAAACAGAGTTCAAATTTTCAATCCATACTGCGTCCACAGGTCCATCCAAAACAATCCATAAACAGTCGGTTTTCTTTATTTGGGTTGATCTTCTCCACAATGTAGAGAAAATGCCGTCCGTCCAATCATTAGTTGCAGCATCAAGCCGACCGAACATTTGTGAAGCTGTGATAGCCTAAAATTACCATAGATACCACTTCGGTGCGTGCAAATTCGACACCGCATTTGATTAATTAGAGCGAGTAAGAAACCTTTGGGTTCATTCGAACTTCTTTATGTGGTTGTCCTAATTCAGTTAAAGCCCGCATAAGCGTCCACATGCACTGAGTTTTCCCCGAACCAGTCGGCCCAAGAACCATTAATCCGTGACGTACAAGCGAAGTCTCGTACAACTACATTAATTGATAAAAATTAATCATATGCAAAATTTTTCTGCAGTTCAAAATAATGTAATTGACAGCACACTTGAATAGTTTTCAAGTTCCATTCTGGATGATTGATAATTTTGAGGACGTCAGTTGCGTTTGCAATAGCTCTTTGTAAATCCTTATAACTCTGAGTAGTTAATTTAATACCCGGAAACATATCGTCAATAAGTGAAAGGAATAAAGGTTCGTCCTCGTCAACTAGTTTTGATAAATTCATGTCTCTGTTTGAATAAACCAATTTTGTAATAAATTATTACATTATGAATTAGAAATGAAAAAGTAGTGTTTTTTGTTGCGATGAGTGTATTGAGCTTTATTTTGTTTCAGACTCAAAAATTATGAGAGTGTAATGATCGTATTTCAGTATAGTAATCATTAACATAACATTTTTCACATATGACTGCGTTTAATTGATTGCTATTCCTTTATACCGGCGACTCTGTAAGAATCGGTAGCGTGCATTTAAGCTAACTTAGCGAACAAAGAGCTGCGGACGATCCGGCGATGCATGTTATTGTCGCGCGCGAGCTACGTAAATATAAACACGCGGGCCAAGCATTTTGTAGAGTATAGGAAAATAAACTAACTCACGTATGATTCAAACGATAATTTTACTGTTGCCATTTCTAGCTATTAGTATGTTGGTTGACTGACTCCCGTCCCTTCCTGCTCTCCGAGTAATAAATTCGAATATTTTGATATCACCGCACGCATTCCGGTATGATTGCGTGTCGAGCGAATTAACGGAATAAAAACGGAGTAATAACCCCGTTACAATTTGTTACAACAGCTTTATGCATAGCTGTTAAAAAAATGTTACATGTATAAATGGGCTCGTATATCGCATAAAAAACGAGTATTAAATTCTATATAAATAATTTAATCATATTTAATTGCATTCATGCACTGAAAATATATACCTCAATACTCTCATTAATGTTGTTTCCTCAGATTCGCCAGGATGAGCTCTCTTTTGCGCACCAAGAGTTCTTAGGCAGGACAAAATATTTCTTAATCCAAAGTCATAATGCACTTGTTTACTGAGTTGCTCTTCACAAAGCTTGTAAAGTGTGAAAAATTTCCGGGATAAGAGAAGATTTTCTTTAAAACCACATGCAGCTAATTTTACTCTCATGATAATCTATTTAAAGAATAAACATTTTTCGGAAAAAATATTTTAGTTTTGATACCACAAAGACATGTGATTGCATAATTTAATAGACAAATTTTTATAATTCACTTGTCGATCTGGGACCATCATAGCAACGCTACGGAACATGATTTTTAAATTTTCAGGTAATTCTTGCCTGCCCGCGTAACCAGGATTCATAGTTATAAATAATCCAAATTCATAATCAATACTGTATATTTCTCCGTCACTGAAATTATATGAAAAAAAAAATTTAACGAGTGTTATCATTAGCTATGAGTTCTACTAAAAACCTGAATAAAAAGTTTAAACTCCTTTCTTTTCTTGCATTTAATACTATAGCGATTTGTTGTGCTGCGACAGAGAGTACCGGCAAGTCGATTCGATTAAATTCATCAAAACATCCCCATGTTCCAGATTGCGCTAAACCCTATTAAAATTTGGTATCGCAAAAATATTTGTTAAGATCGACTGATTGGAACATTAAGAAAAGATAGGAATAATAAATTTAAATCACTTTAAATATTCGGCCTAATCCTCGAAAATCCATTTGATCCGAACAATTAAATACAACTACATACTTTCCCAGAGCTTTTCCCATATCCTTCGTAGTTTCTGTTTTTCCAGTTCCTGCTGGCCCAGCCGGAGCACCACCGAAATTCATTCCTACCAAATAGTACGATATTATTGTGAAAAATAGATTAGATAAAGTAAGAGACTTGATCGTTTTTTGGATGCTGAAATGTGTGACTAACCGACTGCTTGGGCTAGTGTAATATAACATCTGTCCGTTAAAGGTGTAACAACAAGTCGATCTGTGCAACCAAGGAATTCATTTTGATAAATGAATTCAACGTCGGTAATTCTAATGGGCACTCCTTCGGACTCTTCGTCATAGTAAAAACGAGCTTGCTTCAACCATTCGAAATCATGTACATTTTTTATTCTCAAACGACATAGAACATCAAAAATATCCCTAAATGGAACTATTAGTTGAATTCACACCAAGCAAATTTAATCCATATTCAATTTTATCATGATATTTTATTACCTTTGATGTACGTGAATAGTAATTAAGGCCTCATATTTTAATCTCGCGTAGCTTGTTAGATCTTTAACAGTAACTTCGATCATTCTATTCAAAAGATCAAGAAAAAACTGATTTGTCCTTTTCATTATTGTTCGATCTTTTTTTGAGCTAACCAACGCTATTTCTGATTGTTGTGTCCAGAGAACTTGTATTGCCAATAGACCAACCTAGATGAGCATTCAATTTATTATATATTTGATTAAAAAAGCTATCCGTCGCATTCAATTTTATGACATAGTGACCTGTAGTATGGAATTATCGATAAGTGATAGTAAATCTGTTCCTGGTTCTACTAAAGTTTGCAGCCCTTGAGCGATGACTACGCCGACAGATTGCTGATGCATTTTTAATAAAGAGTTTAACCAATTTTCAACGCCTCCAGTGCAGAGTACTGGCTTTTCAAATATAACTTGTTCATTCTCACGCGAATACATAGTTATGACCTTATCGTATTCTTTTTCTGAGAAATCCAACTGGAAAAATAAAAATAAAATACAATAATATAAAGTATTTTATCCGGAGTAGTAAAAAATACTTTGGCCACGTTGTCAAAAAATCCATCTAAGTAATTCACAATGGTGTGAGAATCAGCAGCTTGTCCTAAAATTTCTAGTAAAGTTGGATCTGATATAAAACAAAATCGTGGAAATACCACTCTCTTAGTTTCCAGATAGCTATAGATGAAATATTGCTTTTAAAGTGTGGTTGTTTAGTTATTATTTTTAAGTATTTCAAAGCTTTCCATCATACCCGCTTAGCGATTTTTGACAAGCTTCCAGTTGCTCAAGTAAATGAGGCAAAAATTGGCCCATAGTTTCATCTCCTGTGCAAGTTTCAACAGCATTTAATTTATCTCGAGCACGATACATTAATTTCACCCAAGATTTATCAATAGCCTAAAAGTTAAGAAAAACGAATGAATCCAATATCAACTGATCATATATTTTTTACAGTTACGTTAAATCGTTTTGCTTCCGCCGGTAACTGCTTGGAAATGTCACCTCCTATAAATACTGCCTCAAGATATGCCCACAAGTTTTGTACAATCAACCACTTTGCTAATATTTCTGAGGAATTATTCAACTTATTTTGCCAGAGTTGTATATCCCTTTTGAAAGGCGCATTATATCTAGACCAAAGTGAGATTAAAATTTCACATGACAAAAAATGTTTGAGATCATGCACAAGAAATGTTGTACCGGTTGGCAAGGAGCGAGCTTGTGATCATCAAACTATCCTCCAATTGAGCAATAATTTCTTGAGTTTCAAGTCCTTTCAATAGAAGTTCCCCTCGTGATTTAAAATTAGAAAATTGCAAATTAACTATGGACCAGTCAGCTATTACTTGTCTTAATTTGCTTTCAATATCTTTTTCTTTGATGGCACTTATACAAATATCCTTCGACCGAATAATTAGCGTGAGATATTACAGCGACAAAATTCGAATAAATAGTTAAAAATTTACTTCATATATATTGGAAACTTACTTCAACTTCATCTTTATGTTCCAATAATGGAGCCTCCATAACGCTAGCCAAGTTGAATGTCTCAGATTCGATGTCAAACGTATAATTGCAAAGTTCAGACATCCTATCCCAATGCCGCTCTTTCATTGCTTTATTTGCCATTAATTCTAACAGAGGGCAGGTCTCATTGAAGTCGTCGATTTTCTTTTTTAATTCAATATAGGCCGGCCATTCTCTCAAACCTCTAGGTAGTCTGCGGCATCTGCAAAACGATTTCAATGTACCACGTAAAATCTATTTACCGTTGTTATGCTTCGTTTTTTTATTTAGATTTAAAAATTGTAATATTTAATAAATATGCAGCGTACTAACTTATTTTGAAAGTCGGTCAGTTCTGCGATAATGACATCTGTATCTAATTCTGACCAAGGCATCTTGTAGTACCCATCGACAGAGTGCATAACTTGTAAATAGAGTCCATACAATTTCTGCAATAAGTTTAGTTCTCTTTTGCGATGATTTAATTCTGGATATTCTGTTATTTCAATGCCAAACAAACTTTCTCCACTGCTATATGTTTCATAGCGCTCCCACAAGCTATCAAACCAACCTTGAAATAGTAGTACTCTGAAAATCACGAAAAATCGAACTATGAATACATTTATATCAATACTTAGAACTAAGAATTAAAAGAAAACTCAGATCCATATTTCGTTATAACCAAACATTACTCGACCTTTCACTTGCTTCCTTAGCCGAAATGTTGTCAACCATAGGTCCTTTTATTTCGAAGTCTCTATAGAATGTTATAACTTCATTTTTTAAAACTGCAACTCCATCGGTAAGTTCGTTTTTCAGTGGTTTTTGCATTTCACACACAGTCGCTTGAACTTCTTTTGCTGTTTTTAACATATTTGTGAAATTATATCTAATACTGTCAACGATATCTTGCTCTTCCTTTGAAATTTCGATCTGAAATGTAGCTATAAGCGCATAGATTTCTTCAATTAACATTAGTTCTCTATCCATAAGAATAAAATCTTCTCGAACTTCAGCAAGACATTTCATGGCGATTCTTACATCTTCCAGATCTTTTATTGGTCGATTTAAAAGTTTATTTTTATTGACTATGTATTCTGATATTACTTTTAATTTGTCTTTATAAGAATCTGAAAGTACTGTGCCCAATGTTATTTTCCACGCTATAGCTTCTACCATTAATGCTAGTTTTAGCTTATCTGAAATATTTTTACGAGATCTTAATAAGCTCAAGGTGGATCATTCAATAAAAAAAATATTAATACAATGTAATAAAAATTAAAAAAAAAATAAAAAACAGAGTATATTCACCCATGTTGATTTGAAGAGGCCCAACAGTGTGATACGGTTGAAGATTTTCTATTTCTAAGAATAACTCTTCGTATTTAATAAATTTTGCTCTTATTTCATGGATAAATGGCTTCGATTTTACAAAATCTTCGATTTGTTTGTTTCTATCCTCAGTCCACAAATAAGAATATTGTAAATAAATCTGTAAATTTCAAATAATTTACGACATTTACTTTAAATTTTATTGTGATTCTGCTGGAACTCGCAAAGTTTAATTTTTGAAAAAATATTTTACATTTCCAATTTGTGTAATATCGTCTTTCAGAACAAACATAGCTCCTTGCAAATTCATTGAACTCCGAATAATTTCCTTATGGTTTATAATATACTCGTAATAATTCGTCAGAGATGAACCTATAGTAGATTAGATTTATTTATTGATTTTTCAATATTATAACTTAAAATGAGCTCTGCTTTAACAGTGTTACTTTACCCGCATCAGTATCACTAATCATGTTTTTGTTGGCGAATAGTTGACCCCACATTGTAACAGATTGGTGTACATTAAATAGACTACTCATGACATTATTAAAATGTTGTTGCAATTCATCTATAGATGGAACTATAACAATGTTAGGAATCATAAGTATAAAATCAGTTTCCATCAAAAGCTTTTCATCTTTTCCAGTACTATTTTTTCTGAAAACAATACTACAATGATCATAATAATCAATGTCAAATATGATATCATGAAATTTAAACGACTAGCATGAAAATTAAAATTTATATCGAATCACTTGCTTAGATGATCCGACTATTTTCTTCAACATTTCTAATGTTTTCCGAGTGCACTTAACTAAAGAATCAACTAATTTTTGATTGAAATATGCGAACAACTCCATACAGTCGTTGTGAAAATGTTTGATGTTAATACTGATCAATTTTTCGATTACGTTGAATCCTATAATTTCGGAATCATATTCAAAATTTATGAAAAATTAATGGGAAAATAAGTAAGTAATTTGAGATAAGTGGAAAATGTATTTTACCAATTTCAAATTCATCTGTTAATTTTGTCTGAGACGTAACTGGTTTGTTTACTTTTGAAGGATCCATCCAATCATATTTTAGGTCTTGAACTTTTGGATCATCAATTAAATCGGCAAATTTATTTATTATATCAATTACTGCCTGCTCAGCCGTTGAACACTTTATGCCTAATTCACGGCCTGTTTTTACTGTGAACTCCATAATGTCTTTTGAAAATAATTCTGGATATTGAGGATGATCACAAAATTTGATCAGTTGCGTATCAGAGATTGATTCAAAAATTTCTTCGATTCTCGTTTCTTTCATATCAATTACTTTCTTTAGAAAAGTTTGTACTCTATTCATCGTTAACTCTATATCGTTAAAAGTGTCAGAAATTTTCAATGAAGTCCACGTTATAGTTGATAAACAAGGTTGAAATGATGATTCCAAATCAGAGAGACAAGGTTTCATTAATTTTAAAAATAAAGATGGAATAGATCTTCTTAGAGCATTATTTTTTTCTACTAATACTTTGATTTCGTCGACGTGAGATAGTATTTTTTCTTTGGAAAAAAATATGATCTTGATGAAATCTGGCACGTTTAAATCAAATTTTAACATATATTCAGTTTCTCGAATCACTTCTATAATATATGGATCGAAGTTTACGACGTATTTGTTCGTTTTTAAGTTCCGAAGAAGAAGAGGAGCTATTAATGCAAGCCGAACCTATAGATTATGAAATTAGAAAATTGTATAACCTAATTTATATTTAATGGATGGTACGTAAAATGAAAGAAATAGTTACTGTATCAGTAGAATCAAACCATGCTTTATGATATAATATCTCGTAGTGAATAAAAACTGTCATTAAAGCATTATACATTTTAATGCATTTTTGCATTTTATCATGTACCATAACTTTAGGACGAGTTTTATATTTTTCCATTGGAGATTCCATACGCTTTTCAAGTTGTCGTATCCATAATATTCTACCAGAAATCATAGGTATATTTCTAGGCACAGGCGGGTTAGATCTGTTTTCGTTGTATCCATCTCTTATATTTTCTACTTCAGCTTCGAACATAACTATTAGTTCCAAATATTTTCTATCAATCCATAATTGACTGAAATCCAATTTCTGGAACCTTTTGGATAGAAAGAGAACGCATAATTTTTTTCTTACCTTTAATTTATTTCTAAATTGTACGTATGTCTGTGTGTGGGTGTATTACAGTGTCGTTAAAAAAATTATATATTAATTTATAGATTACCTCTTGATCATTGCCAATGTTTGCTCGATTGAGGGTAAATCATCAACAGATATGTAGAAAAATTTGCGGAGTTCGAGTTCCGTATCGCCAGTGTTCTTTTTAAATTCATTGTAATCAATATCAAAATCATTTTTCCGAAAATTTAAGGGATCGTGTGTTTTGGAAATAATTTTTTCAAAAAATGTTGTAAACTTTTGTGCAAAAATGGTGATTCCTTCAATTTTTGAACTGTGTAAAATAGAGTAAGTTGTCGTCGTTTCCAGTACATTAATAATCTACAACATTAATAATTAATATTGTTATTAATTATGATAAAAAAAATTATTTATAAATTAAACATTACTTTGACCAATCTCTCTGTAAACATGTTAAATTTTCCAAAAACATGTACTTCTGAAACATCTATTAATGGTTCATTTGAATTTTCTTTAACTTTTTGTCTCATTTGATTGTAATAATTCCAATAGGATCTCTCGAGTTCTATACACTTCTGCAAATTGGAAATAAAATAACAAATTAATAACTGAAACAACATTATAACTATTCACTCCTTCCTTCTAATCCTTGTTCTATATTTGATGCGAGACTTACTTTCATTTTAGCTATCATATCAGATTTTCTTTCATCCCATATAGAAATTTCATTGTTATTGGTTAAAAAAGACTTGCACGATAATATAAGCTGGTTTGTTATCTGTGAAATTATACTTATTGAAAAGCAATTGAAATATCAGTTTTCTAATTAAAATATTAGCCAACCTTAACGAAAACGGCGGTAACCATTTCTTTAGTATTTAAAAAGCGAGACATCGCAAAAATCATTTGCAGTACATACATCAAAGACAGCAGATGTTCATCAAGTTGAGTCGGTGATAGTCTGTACAATGGATAGGTAAACTTTTCCAAAACATATAAATATTTTACGTTGTCTTCTGATAATATTTCAGTGGCTGTAACGTGATCTTCCAACTTTTTCCATTTCTAAATAATTAAAAAGATTATATTGACCTTAATAAGATTTATATGTAATATAAAATAGTCACTCACGATTCAACATACCTGTATAACTTTCGATTTAGATATTATTAAAAAAGTCAAATGGGATTGAATAGGAAATGATCTTATCTGCTTTCCAAGTGATGAAAAACATGTAAGTATTTTCCGCCAGTAAATCAGTTCAGCTGATGGTCCGATTATTTCAGTTTCTCTTCTTAACTGCTGGCTTACTACTAATTCCTTTAATCATTCATCAAAATAAAAATAACAATAATCGATTAATGCAATCATTATTGCATAATGCATTTAAGTACCTTTTCCATTAATTTCATCCATTCTTTAACGATGTTTTCAACTCTTAATAAAATATCCAAATTTCCTACATTCTGAATAATCAAATCTTGATTTGACAAATGTTTTTCGTAGAAATTTTCATCGATACTCAATATAACAACTTGGTTAATATAATTCTTGGTAGCTTTGTTACGCGTAGTATAGATTTATCATGAATAAATTAAAGTTTAATGAATTATAATACTTTGAAATTATTAATAATTGCTCATACTCACTATTCATAAACGTACAAAAGTCTTGAAAATCATCTATAAAATTTTGTTCAACGTTTGACTGTGACATTTTGCTAAATCTTAAAATCACTAAATGCTCTGGTCAAATCAATCAGTTTGTTTATTTTATATTTACAAACAGATTTAGATGTTCATCCTTTTGTTCGACGGTATTACCACGAAAATAATATAATTATTTTAATAAAATATTATGAACATTGTTCTTCTTCTATAAAAATTACATAATTATGTTTGCCACTTTTTGAAGGCACTGACTGCTCAGCGTAAATTGAACAGTTTGGTTAGCTTACATTTATAAACAATTGCGAATTCAGTAACGCATACTTCTCTACGCCTATAGCGACGGCATTTCAAAAAAGCAATAACTATTTTTTATAATAAAATTATAAAGCATTGTGTATATCGTTCATCTTATACTGGAATGGTTTTTTATTTTTGAACAAAAATTAAAAAGAAGAGAAAGATTAGTAAATGGATTTCGTCAAAATTATTTTTTCTAATAGAAATGATAGAACTCATGACAAATTACAAAAGTCATATATACGAGGGTCGTTTGAAAAGTCCGTGCAAAAATAAAAACTGCTTGATTTTTTTTAATAAATCTTTTTTATTTTTCAACATAGTCTCCTTTTAGGCTTATACACTTCATCCAACGCTACTCTAGTTTGTTTATCCCTTCCAAATAATAGGATTTGTTCAAGTCTGTAAAACAGGCATTCGTTTCTGCAATCACCTCCTCGTTTGAATAAAATCTTTTCCCCGCCAGCCATTTTTTCATATTAGAGAACAAATAGTAGTCCGACGGAGCCAAGTCTGGAGAATAGGGGGATGTGAAACGAGTTGGAATCCTATCTCCATCAGTTTTGCGGCCACAACTGCTGAGGCGGGAGCTGGCGCATTGTCATGGTGGAAGAGGACTTTTTTGTGGGCCAATCGTGGACGTTTCTCTAGCAACTCGGTTTTCAAACGATTCAATAACGATGAATAATATTCGCGTGTAATGGTTTTACCCTTTTCCAGATAGTTGATGAAGATTATTCCTTGCGAATCCCAAAAGACAGTCGCCATAACCTTCTCGGCCGAAGAAATTGTCTTCGCCTTTTTCGGAGCAGATTCCCCCTTGGTAACCCATTGTTTAGACTGTTCTTTGATCTCAGAAGTGTAGTGATGTATCCATGTTTGATCTACAGTGATGAAACGACGCTTAAAGTCTTGCGGATTTTACTGGAACAGCTGCAAACCATTCTTGCAACACTTCACACGATCTCGTTTTTGCTCAATCGTGAGCAATCGCGGCACCCATCTAGCGGATAGCTTTTTCATGTCCAAATGTTGGTGCAAAATATTATGTTACCGTTCGCTCGAGATGCCTACAGTACTAGCAATTTTACGCATCTTCACTCTTATGTCAGCCATCACCATATCATGGATTTTATCAATGATTTCTGAAGTGGTAACCTTAACAAGGCGTCCAGGACGTTCAGCGTCTTTTGTGCTCATATTGCCACTCCGAAAATTTTAAAACCACTTATAAACCATTCTAGTCGAAGGTGCACAATCGCCATAATATTTATCAAGCTTCTGTTTAATCTCCTGAGGCGTTTTGCCTTTGAAAAAGTAATGTTTAATCAATACACGAAATTCTTTTTCGTCCATTTTTTTACAACCACTCGATTTCTTTGATTGAAACGAATGTAAAACGCAAAGTAATTGGCCGATCTGGTTGAAACTTGGTGTGTGCTCTTCCAAGATATGCCACTAACTGTAAATGACCTTGATACGCACTAGTAGCGCCATCTCTCTGACTTTGCACGGACTTTTCAAACGACCCTCGTACATTTATTGAACTATTAAAATACTATTGTCGGTAACATAGCAAATTGTTACACTATCTCCGTGAACCAACATCTGCACGAACATTGAACACCATTATTTAATTATAATAAAATATGAACGATATGAGTAGCATTTTCTAATTATCTTATTAATTAGGGTATTCTTGTTTTTATTTTACATGTATTTTCGTACATTTTTGTAATAGAAAGCAACAGAAAAATAAATGCTGCAGTCGCTTACAATATACATTGAAAAAAAAATTAATTAATGATTGATTTGGTTATGTATTATGAATATTATTATTGTAAATTTGCGGAAAATATAACAATGATGAATATCGATTAAAATACAAAACAATGTATAAGCCAATGAATTTTTGTAGGTAAAATATTTAATTATTATAACCAGTATCTACGGCTTCTCTAATTGTTAGTCAGTATAATTGGATTCAGTAATCGTGTCACACGTACGAATATAAATTTACAAAAATATTGTTATAAAAGAATTCTTGTTCACCTATTTTTTATAATCTTTGTCTATTTTATTTTATTTTCATAATTCATATACAAAATATATTAACACGGACAAATTATAAGCAATGCCAGTCACTGATTAGCGAATTAAATCAAACTTGAATTGATACGTCTCTAGATATGGCGGCTATAAAATCAAAATGAGAGATAATTCAAATAAATAAGAAGTACAATATCGAATAGTTTAACAATTATTTAATTAAGATAAACTATTTTACCATCTCTAGCTAATCTCATGGCAAAACCTTAAAATCCTATGTGTTTAAATTTAAACGTTTTAAGTGTGTAATTGTGATGTCGCTCATAAGAAATATATTGTCGCTGAATTTAAACGTTTAGAAGTGTTTAAAATTGAGGACAATGTATTTTTTATGGGTGACGTCATATTAAACGTTTAAATTCAAACACATGGGTTTACCGTGTCTGTTATCGCTACAGAAAATCCGCATATAATACCTCTATTGGTTGCCGGTGCTTCACACCTTCATACACACGCACACACACGCGCACGCAAACCTTCGTTTCGTTTTAATGGCCGTAGGAGCCTGTGGACTCCGATGCGCCACAATTGAAATTTAGAATTAAAATTTGAAATGTAAAAGAGTTTTAAAATTTTTATTGATAAGTAGGGTGTGAAAAGGAGAGGTGGAAGAGTGTAGGAATTATTTTGTAAAGTATATATAGGAAGGATATAATAAATGTTGTTTTTAGTTGTCGGTAATATAGGTGTTTTGATTTTGTGATATAAGAATGAGGATATAAGTAGATAGTGTTGTGACTAATGTATAAGATGGTTTAGGCCAAAGTGGGATTATATAGATAAGTTGCATTGTCTTAAAAAATCTGTTATGAATTTGGATGTTATTTCGCTTGGATTAACTAATATTTCTTCGATGGATACTGGAAGATGTTTTTTCTTCTTTTCATAGTGTCTTTTTAATTTAATTTTTAATGTGTATCTTTGTTGAGAATAGTTGGGCAATCTCATGTTATATAATTTGCATCTTGTGAAACATAGCCGCATGAGCATGAAGGAGAATCGATCATATTTTTCCTATATAAACTAACGGCTAGATTGTAGTGATTAGATCGTATTCTTGTAATTGTTGTTAAATGTCTTCTTGGATAATTTATTCTGGAGAACCATGGCCTAGGATTTTCGTTTTGAAAGTAGTACTTGAAGTAGTGGTTGCCTTTATCTTGACTTTGGTTTGTGATCAGTTCGTTATTAGTTTTTTTTATAGTTGTTATTTATTTGTTCTAAAAAGCCTGTAAAGTGAAGTTGGGTGATAAGATTTGTGCCTATTGGAATGACGTCTTTTGCTAAGAGATCTACTGTATCATTGTGGGGGATATTTGTATGGGATGGTATCTAGATTAGTATTATTTGAATGCCTAGGAGAATACATTCGTGTAGGAGGGCTTTTATGTCAACACACGCAAACGATCTCTGAAAGTTATCTTGAGTGGTAAAACAGTTAGGTCGCAAATCTTAAATGAATTTTATTTGAATACTGAATTATACTCATAGATTACTCTTTTTTATCAATTAATGATTATCACTAGTTGAGTTTCTAAAAATAACATTTTTTCACTTGAAGACATTGTTGCTGGTTTATTAATGGAGCGTCAAAAGCATGATTTATTAAAGTATATTAAAGCATTAATCCGTATTGTAACGGTCCAGTCTGATTTTCCTTTTCTCCCACTGCAAAATAGCAACCCGTCGTACGCAAGAAAAATGAAGAAAAGCAGTACTTGAGGGAAGGCGCTATTCATATACGCGTAAATGTGTTAGGGCAATTCGGCGAAAACAAGACCATATAAGGAGCGTTACGTGACGAGCGTGGGAAAATTATTGTTTACAATGCAAAATTGACAATTACAAAGTTTTTTCTTATGTACAAAAGCATTTTTCAGTCAATTTCAATGCGCTAATCTCGAATTTCAAGTTATTATGATAACATAATACGTATTTGTTAACTTAATTTAATTTACAAGTAAATATCGCTAGTAATTTTGCAACAAATAAATATATTGCAAATTCGAATATACAACAGCGATCGTAGCGCATTAAGACAGAGAAGCAAGAATTTGACACTTTGATAACTGATTTTTGACTGAGTTATCAATAAATAAACATTTATAATTTATTTAAACAATTAAAATTGCGTTGCGAAATAGCGATTCAACTGTATATATCTATAAAATTAATGATAACGATTGTTACCCATTTGTTGATTTTATAATGGCTAAAAGAGGAATTTACAAATTCGTTTTTTTAATTATTATTCAAAAATGGATTGTTAAGTTAGTCGCTTTTATTTTGAATAATATTCCACTTATCACAAGTGACTTTTTGATGTAAAAATTTTCTGTAAATTTGTTGTAAATTCCGTATTATTTAAATATCTAACTTATATCACTTATAATTTTAAAAGGCGATTTTTCCTTGAGAAACGATTTATTTAAAAAAATTTGTTATTCTATACTTGATTTTTTAAATCATTTTAAATTTTTTAAATAATTTTCAATTTCGATCGAGCCATTTTGCGACAAAACCTGTACAAAGTTTATGCTAATATAAAAAATACCATTGTAGGGGCTACCAAGCGTAGAAAGGAGCCATTTTCGCAAGTATAAATTCGCTCGTCGCTGCGGCAAGAGGATTCACTATCCT